ATGGTGACCACTGACCCCACATAGCGACCGCCGACTTTGCCCAACAGCCATAACCTCTCGTTGTTGGGCAGTGAATTTGCCCAACAACCAGTCAATTTGCCCAGCAACCAATGGGTTCCATAGCAAACATTGACTTTTTCTTTCAATCAATGACTTCTATGGTGACCACTGACCCCACATAGCGACCGCCGACTTTGCCCAACAGCCATAACCTCTCGTTGTTGGGCAGTGAATTTGCCGAACGACCAGTCAATTTGCCCAGCAACCAATGGGTTCCATAGCAAACATTTACTTTTTCTTTCAATCAATGACTTCTATGGTGACCACTGACCCCACATAGCGACCGCCGACTTTGCCCAACAGCCATAACCTCTCGTTGTTGGGCAGTGAATTTGCCCAACGACCAGTCAATTTGCCCAGCAACCAATGGGTTCCATAGCAAACATTGACTTTTTCTTTTAATCAATCACTTTTATGGTGACCACTGACCCCTTATAGGGAGCGCCGACTTTGCCCAACAGCCATAACCTCTCGTTGTTGGGCAGTGAATTTGCCCAACGACCAGTCAATTTGCCCAGCGACCAATGGGTTCCATAGCAAACATTGACTTTTTCTTTCAATCAATCACTTCTATGGTGACCACTGACCCCTCATAGCGACCGCCAACTTTGCCCAACAGCCATAACCTCTCGTTGTTGGGCAGTGAATTTGCTAAACGACCAGTCAATTTTCCCAGCGACCAATAGGTTCCAAAACAAACATTGACTTTTTCTTTCAATCAATCACTTCTATGGTGACCACTGACCCCTCATAGCAAGCGCCGGCTTTTCCAAACAGCCATAACCTCTCGTTGTTGAGCAGTGAATTTGCCCAACGACCAGTCAATTTGCCCAGCGACCAATGGGTTCCATAGCAAACATTGACTTTTTCTTTCAATCAATGACTTCTATGGTGACCACTGACCCCTCATAGCGAGCGCCGACTTTGCCCAACAGCCATAACCTCTCGTTGTTGGGCAGTGAATTTGCCCAACGACCAGTCAATTTGCCCAGCGACCAATGGGTTCCATAGCAAACATTGACTTTTTCTTTCAATCAATCACTTCTATGGTGACCACTGACCCCTCATAGCGACCGCCAACTTTGCCCAACAGCCATAACCTCTCGTTGTTGGGCAGTGAATTTGCTAAACGACCAGTCAATTTTCCCAGCGACCAATAGGTTCCAAAACAAACATTGACTTTTTCTTTCAATCAATCACTTCTATGGTGACCACTGACCCCTCATAGCAAGCGCCGGCTTTTTCCAAACAGCCATAACCTCTCGTTGTTGAGCAGTGAATTTGCCCAACGACCAGTCAATTTGCCTATGGAACGAGTGGGTTCCATAGCAAACATTGACTTTTTCTTTCAATCAATGTCTTCTATGGTGACCACTGACCCCTCATAGCGACCGCCGACTTCGCCCAACACTCATAACCTCTCGTTGTTGGGCACTGAATTTGCCCAACGACCAGTCAATTGGCTATGGAACGAGTGGGTTCCATAGCAAACATTGACTTTTTCTTTCAATCAATGTCTTCTATGGTGACCACTGACCCCTCATAGCGACCGCCGACTTCGCCCAACACTCATAACCTCTCGTTGTTGGGCACTGAATTTGCCCAACGACCAGTCAATTTGCCCAGCGACCAATGGGTTCCATAGCAAACATTGACTTTTTCTTTCAATCAATGTCTTCTATGGTGACCACTGACCCCTCATAGCGACCGCCGACTTCGCCCAACACTCATAACCTCTCGTTGTTGGGCACTGAATTTGCCCAACGACCAGTCAATTTGCCCAGCGACCAATGGGTTCCATAGCCAGCAGCTTTAAATGTTATACTATTAAATAACAGAAGCCATTTCAAATTGTTCCGATTTTCTAACATTGGTGCTGAGGAAAACACACTACAATATGGACAGTGGAGATATCATGCCTGATATAACATGTACATCCGAATGTAATCCACCATGCATCATATCCTGGGGAGAACATAGCAAAAACAACGTTCTTAGTCTAGGAGACGTTACCACAGAAGATACAGGGGAATACACGTGCACAGCAAGTAGATCAGACGGTCGTGTTGTAGAGCAGACAGTGTTTACGTCAATGGTATTTGTCCTACTGAATCTTTTATCATTTCCTCCATTTTCTAAAAAGATAATGGTAAATTAAATTAATGATTTACTAAATGATATTATAATATTTCGTTTTTTAGCGTTTCATATTTGCATAATTCAAAGACGCATGTTATGATATTTCATACCAGTTTTTTATGATTATTTTACGCAGATAACTCATATTTTACCATAGCGATTACATGTTTGGCAACTGTTCAATCACTTACTATCATTGCGCTTGGGTTGTGAACATTTTTCATTTACCAAAGAAAAGTTCTGTCATTTTGTCACCAGCGTAAGTTTCTTTTTGTTTTAATGTATATCAATAAAACATTTTTACCTGAAAAGATCGATAAATATTTATTGCACAGACCATTTTTTTTAACATTTGGTTTAATGTCCGAAACTATATTTGAGTTTAATTCAAATGGCTTCAAACTATTGTTTAAAAGAATAGGACTTCACTATTTGCTGACCGTTTATTTAAATACCTTCATTAATGTCTTTGTTAATATATATTTTTTTGCATTTTTTTTTATTCAATTGTTTATAATAACGCCTCATTCGTACCCTGCCCGTGTACCCCGGGGCTCATTTTATTCCTTTAACGTACAATATTCATGTGTATTAAGTAATAGAACTATTCTTTATTATAACTCTTTAAATAATTGACCATATATTTATGGAAACAGCACAATTTAACCGTTAATAACGTTGTTTAATAACTATTTCATTAGATACATTTTTAAATTACTGTATGCAAAATGTTTACTTCCTTGATATCACTTTTTAATGGTATGCTTCAATTCTCAAATAGCTTTTTTAAATGCCCGAAAAATATCCGTATATTGTTTTGCACCTGGACGTTCGTCCGTCTATTAACGGTTTTCGTGTCTGGTCTGTATCTTTTTAACCGGTGAATGGAAAGGCAGAAATGTTAAACATAATGAAACAATGTGCATAGCACAGGTTTGACCTTGCTTAGGTCAAGGTCACACTTAGTCATTTTGTATGAATTTTAAAATTTCGTGTCCACTCAGTATCTTTTGAACCGATAGAGAGAAATTAAAAATTTTTGACAGACGTATTCCTTATTCCAAACACATGTTTGAGGTCGCTTGATTTTTACGGACTTATATGGGACAACACATTTAAGACTTAAAAGCCTAGAGCTAAGCTATTTTGTATGAAGCATTATACAGCATCAATCTGTAGATTTCTACAAAAGTAATATTAATCATGACCCTCGGGTCAAAATTGGCACTGCCCAGTGAGTCACTTTCTTTATGTAGACTTAGGTATAGGAAAAAACGTCTTATCTTTTTGTGGATAAATACAATGTCTCTATATTTCGCACCTAATAGACGTCCTTAAAAGTTTTATGAATAATGTACCTTGGGAATACAATGCCCTCCATATTGGAGGTCATATAGAATTATAAGGATAATTAACATAAAACATTTTTCAGACAAGTTTCTTGATTTGATCTCTTCCCTAATAGAAAGATTAATTTTTATTACTCAAATTTACATTCGGCGTATATAGCATCGCCTTTTGCAGTGCTCTTGTTTTATCATTATTGTTATGATTAACACTTATAGAACACTTCACTTTGGGCAGGAAAATGCATAAAGTTTCAAACTGATTCAGTCATTTGAGCTTTATTTTTTAATATAATTAGCATCATCAAAGGAATTGAATGACATTGTATATTTACTTTTCAGTTATTTTAGTATATATATATATCATCATCATCACTTAATTAAACGAGGAAGGGCAAAACATAGAGATTTTAAATTTTCGTGTATTCGTTTTTGTATTTGCCCTTTAATGTTAATGTTGTTCAAATGCTTTTAATTTGATTAAATTAAGTCTAGATTATTAGATTCACTTACTCAACATTTAGTTCAAATTGTGATGGTTTTAATAAAATAAATAAATGAGACGTGTCACGACAAAACCAACATAATGGGTTTGCGACCAGCATGGATCCAGACCAGCCTGCACATCCGCGCAGTCTGATCAGGATCCATGCTGTTCACTTACAAACCCTATAACAAGTAGAGAAACTGATAGCGAACAGCATGGATCCTGATCAGACTGCGCGGATGCGCAGGCTGGTCTGGATCCATGCTGGTCGCAAACCCATTATGTTGGTTTTGTCGTGACACGGCTCAAATGTATTCTCAATTTGCCTTGGTTGTTTTTGAATACATACGAGTATATGAAAAAACACGGGAGAATGAAAAGTGTTATTATTTATTTTGCAACAAGAATGACTTAATTTGTAATCTCTAGATTGAAGATATATGACAGTTGTCTGATAATGTAATGTTCTTTACATATAAGTGATTATAATAATTGTTAATTAACCTCTTTATTAGCATCACTTTATGACTACGTTTAACATGAAATATTTGAAATCGAAATAAATCAATACAAATTTCAAACATATACCATATTAAAATATAGATTAAATGTAAAGTATACCACACAGACACTTGGGGTTTGGAGCTCAAAACGCCTTTAAAATCCAAATAAAATGCATATTTGTCAATCCCAGGACATGTACTGATCATATATATCAAAAAATCTTAATATATGCCGTTTTGAAAAAAAATCATATTTCAACAACTATAATAATACACTATAGATGTTGAAATATGAATTTTTTTCAAAACGGCTTATATTAAGTTTTTTGATATATATATGATCAGTACATGTGCTGGGATTGACAAATATGCATTTTATTTGGATTTTAAAGGCGTTTTGAGCTCCAAACCCCAAATGTCTGTGGTATACCATATTTGGCTTTACAAAATTAACTATGACCTAAATTCAAACTGATAATATAGGGTGCACTATTTAGTACGTTACTTAAATATGCAAACTAAAATCAACATGTTTAGTGTATAAACAGTGTCATATCATCAGTAATCATTGGATTTATTAATTAAAGGTAAATCTCGTAACATTTCAAAATGTTAATTAGATATATTGCGTTATAGACATATATGTACATTAAGACAGCATTTACATGAACGTGTGTGTTACATGTGTATTAAATGTAATATAATATAGTAAGGCAATAGCACAATAATAATTTCTGAAGAGTGTTTTCACTATTTTTATCCATATGATTGTATAAACAGTAGTCTAATTTAAAATTTGATATACATGAACTAGTATTTGTCTTTTGATAACTCGTCAGTTGACAAGTATTTGAACACATAAAATGTCATTAGCAATGCTGTTTTGTGTTTTACATATATTACAATATATTTCCTACATTTGTTAACAGTGTACTTTACATGTCTAAAAATTGTTCTCTTAATCTCTTGTAAAAGTGAAAAATGTTTCTGGATGAAAAACTTCTTGTAGATGAATATATAACCTTAAACAAATTTATGAATTGAATATTCTTGAAAGACAAAAGAAAAGAAATTTGACTTGTTTTCTTAGGGAAAATAACAAAATATCTCAATGAAATCCTTCTTATAGATGACTATATAATGTATGTACAATGCATAATCAATTGAATGTTCTAGAATGACCGAAATTAAGACTTGTCAATGCAATAAAAAACCTTGCCAGATAAATATATTAGGATAATTCATTACATAAAGTAATAAGTTTAATTCATCAGATAAAGTAAATAGGATAAAAGATGCAACTAAAGCAATAAATGAACTATACCTTTACATTGCAATGTTTATGGCGATATGATTTGAAACATGTATTTAAAAAGTGGATGAAATGCAAATGTTTCCAATGATTATTGCAGATCTGGTCAGTGCTAACTCGTTGGAACAATGCTAACTTTAATCAATTTGCAAGACGTCCTTTTGGCAGACCACAATAAATCATGGTTACCCCATGTAATAGAAATGCTTGTTTATTTAATGGTCATCTTCTTCATCGGATGGTCACTGTACCACGTGACTAGACTAATTTTACCGGACAACATCTCCGAATACGCCTTTGACTTTGTGAAAACCATGACAATATGTGCTTATTCGCTTGGGATGATTCTTGTGCGGATAAACTTCGGAGATATTTGGTTTATTCTAGTACTGGTTCCCCTCATAATATTAACAGTGATAATGATCCCTGGAGAAGCAACTCCTGTCACAATTTGGGTGCAATATTTTCACAATCGACTTAGTTTATTGCTGGCTGTTGTTAAAACAGTAATATTAATGACAGCCGGTGTAGCTGCTTTCTGGATAGGAATTTTAGTTTTAAAATCAAAACTGCATAATGTAATATTCGGTTTCAATTACTCGACGAATCTTCCATCTACCTGCTCGTCGGCACTTAATGTCCCTCTTTATCAAGGGTTTATGTTAGAGATGATAGCTGTTATGTACGATTCATGGTTTGTTGTGCAAAAACTTTCACCGAACTTGTTGTTAGATGCCGCTTTTAAAGTAACTAACACGGGATTGCTAGTCATTGCAGGTAAGAGTTAACTATGATATGTTACAGTTTCATTTTTAAATTTAAGCAGCGGTAACAAACGTGATATTATCAGTTCATATTTGTTTAATGTTTGATCAATTGAAACAGCAACAACGAACACCAAAAATGATTTTATGTATTTCTCAATATCAAATATATGTGGCCTGTTGTTCAGGCACTTTGAAAAGTGACATTCGATGACATCAAATAATTCAATTAAAATATCTGAAAGGTATAAATACAATTGATGCGTTCTTTGAACTTTGCTTTTTTTCTCTTTCAATTGTTAATGTTTTGTTCTTATTGTTATCGTCGTCGTCGTCGTTGCTGTTGTTACATTTATCTGATCATTATAAGAGCTAATATAATTATCCCCTAATTATTATTGTGCTCAATCTGCATGTTAGTAAGTTATGTATAAAGCACAATTCTGTTTTCAGGTTCACACTTAACAGGTATGTTTATGCATCCACCAAAAGCATCAGGTCTTACATTCGGATGTGGACAGACTTCAAACATCAACCATATTATTGTGTATTGGATTGGGCCGTTGGCCGGGGCTTGGTTAAGCTCGAAACTACAGAAACGTCTTCATTTGTCATGGAGCACAAATGACGTAGCACCAGTAATGGGTCATAAGTCACCTGATAAAAAGATAAAGCAGAATAAGAAGAGACATTATGAATAGAAATGAGGGTGAAATTACATAACATAACAATATATACAGATATAAACAAAAAAGCGTCTTATAGTATTCATTAATAGCGTCAATCACAGACTAAATAATAGGTATACATTTATTGTTACGTGCACTTTATATACGTACAAATAAACAGAAAAGTGATTGATGTTGCCCCGGGGCAGAGACATGTTGTCGATAATTATTAACAAGATATTTGTTATAAACTTCCTAAAATTCATTGTATATATGAGCATCGGTGGTTCAGTGGTAGAATGCTCGCCTGCCACGCGGGCGGCCCGGGTTCGATTCCCGGCCGATGCACATGTTTTGGTGAAAATTCTTTATGTTTATCAATCAATATTGTTGCACAACATAGGCTACTGCAAAGCTTTCCGTAAGTTAACATAATGCTTTTATTAATGCTTAAAACTACAGAACATATATTCATTCACGGAGACGGACGCAGACATATAAGTTCGTGCCGTTATTGCATAGTTTTTATTTGTTTGGGTCGCCAGACCAAACAAATAATGGTAGCGAAATTTCAGACTCTGATGCTGTTAATTCCAAATGCCGAAAGTAGTCCGCTTTTTTTGAAGCAGTTACTTCCCTTTATATGTACACTAACGCCGGAAAAATCAGGGGAGATCACTGCGTAAAGATGGTCAAATGACAGGCGCATTAATTTTCAAGCAAAATAGTTTCCGAATGGTCGAAGGTTTCTAATATTGTTTTATTCTTTATAGATATACATGCTTATAGTAAGCTCCATAATTATTTACCCTTGTGTTAAACAACAGGTTTAGCGTCGAAATAATAAGGGTTACAAACCCTTATTTAGAATAATATGGTTTTCTTAAGGCCGGAAGCATATAACTTCAACGTGGCCGAGGGGTTTGCGCGCTCGCTTAGGAAGCGAGAGGTCTGGAGTTCAAATTCACTTAAGGCAACTTTTTTTTCAAATTGTTTAAGTCAAATAAACATTGAATTGAATATCATTGTTGCAATTAGTCTTATAGCCAATTTACTACAATTAAAACGCTGGAAAGCATTGGTGGCACTATACAAAAACAAATTGGTTTATAATCTCACAACCTTCAACTTTCTGACATTCTGAGACCCAAACAAATTCAGCGCCTTCTGTGCATTGATTATATGTGTAACTAAGGACGCAATGTGTAAATGACTGGCTGCAGAAACGGTGATAAACAGACGCTTAATTTTCCTAAATGGTTTAACTCATATTCTGAAATATTATAGATATCGATTTTCGCCATACCTTTCTAATATTTCATTTTATTTAAACTGGTATCATTAGGCTTTTTGTACAGTAACCTATAATGACTCAATTTTACACATGACATAAATGTGCTTAAACATCAAATAAACAACGGGACTGAAAACTAAACGAATGTGAATATTATGTAGAACTTGATCAAGAATTTTGCTGTACATTTAATGAATCACATACTTATGTATAAACATACTAAATTAAATTCAAATAACTACAGGAGCCAAAGCAACAACTCGGAGTTTCATTTTCACAATGCTAGCTATGGTGCTCTCAGAAGAAAGTATGTCCGACAGATGCCCGCAGGCTAGGAGTATTTGATGGTGCCATGATTTGTATATATATTTTTTGTTTTGTTTAAAGGCACATTTTTTAGGTAATCTTGACCTACAGATTTGCCTGATTTCGTGGCATATTACCCAATGTAATTACTCGGGTTAATACGATGTATAATGTATATAGAGATGCTCACGTGTCATAAGTATCAGCCGGTGTGCGATGATTGCTTCAATCTGTATATAAAATACGAATTTTGGCTGCCGATTGATAAGTGCAATAGCTCGTTGTTTTCTGTGCTAGATAATATCAGGCGCATGGCGCTTGATCAAGAAAAATGACCGACAGATGTCCACGTGGTATGATTGTAAGCTAGTGCAATGACTTGTTCATTTTGCGAACAAATTTGGAGAATTTTGGAGAGAAAAAAAAACTGTTTTCTGGAGGCATTTGTGCGAATGTGTTGCATGTTGGTCATTGCAATAACTCTATATCTTTCAGTCAAGAAATAGTAAGCACATGGGGCTTATCCAATAAATATGAAAGTCAGTTGCCCACGTCAGATGGGTGTTAGATATTGCTATGATTTGTGTATTCTGTATGTAAACTTCTATCGAGCACCTGGACAGAATCAACGATGTTCTTTAAGCTAGCTAGATAGAAAGAATCCAAAGTCCTGGTCGGGATTCGAACCCACAACGGTTAGGGACAAGTGGTTTGAATACAACGACATTAACTTCTCAGCCACGGTAAAGAATCGGATGCAATCGAATGGAGTTCCTCCTTATTTGGCCGCAACATTTCCTCTGCCACCGACTGACGATTTTTAGATTTTTTTACTTGAAAAATGTTATTTTTATATAACTTCTATAGTTTTAAAGGTATCTACCTCAAACTTCAAATACTTATTCATTGTCATCAATTACATATTATGTGACAAGGTTCATAACTCTTGAAGCAATATTTTCAGAGTTATCTCTCTTTGAACTTAAGATTTTTTAAAGAAATATTATAACTTATTTACTTTTTAAGGTATCTACTTTAAATTTCAAATATATATTTCTTATCATTACACACATGTTGTGTGACAAAACTCTAGCGTGACTATTTCCAGAATTATTCCACCTTGAACTTGGAATTTATGTTAACAAATGTATTTTGTTTTACTATAACTTAATACATAATTAGACATAATTGATTTTTCTTTCATAGTTTTGTCTTCCTTACTGTGTCCAGTATTTAATTAGTCGAGCTTCCCTGTCTCCTGTGAAAGCTCTTGTTTCATCTAAACTACCTTATCTAGACTTGACTTTTTGTTGTAATGTTTGAACTTGGCCCATTTCCCGCTTTGTAAAATGTTCAAATCGGTTCTGTACAGGTTCTGAATAACCATGTTTGATAAATTTAAAACTATATAAAGATAAAGCAGAATAAGAAGAGACATTATGAATAGAAATGAGAGTGAAAAAAATATAAAATATCAATATAAAAAAAGCGTCTAGAAGTATACATTAATAGCGTCAATCACAAACTAAATAATAGGTACACATTTATATTATAAAAAAAAACAACGGGGCACTTAAAATGTACAACTATGACATATTGTCGATAATTATTAACATAATATTTTTATCTACGAGACAAACAATATGCATCGGTTGTTCAGTGGTAGAATGCTCGCCTGCCACGCGGGCGGCCCGGGTTCGATTCCCGGCCGATGCACATCTTTTGGCGAAATTTCTTTATGTCTATCAATCAATATTGTTACTTTAGGTTTCAAATACCGTAGTTACAAAATCAGGTATAACATTGCTATTCTATATTGCTGAAAAAAACTTCCCGTGGGTAGTGCCCTCTAAGTTAACATGATGCTTTTATTAATGCAATAACTATATCTTTCAGTCAAGAAATAATAAGCACATGGGGCTTATCCAATAAAAATGAAAGTTAGTTGCCCACGTCATATGGATGTCAGACATTGCTATGATTTGTGTATTCTGTATGTAAACATCTATCGAATCAACGATGTTCTTTAAGCTAGCTGGATAGAAAGAATCCAAGTCCAGATCACATCGGTTAGGGGCAAGTGGTTTGAAGACAAAGACCTTAACTACTCAGCCACGGAAAACAATCGGATGCAATTGAATGGAGTTCCTTCTTATTTGGGCGTAATATTCCCTCGGCCACCGGCTGACGATTTCTTTCATACAAAGACATCTTTTTAAACAAGCAAGAATGCTTGGTCGGTAAATTGAGACGTATATAATTATGATAATCATATTGACCCGCAAATTTGCAATCAAACACTTCCAGCTCCCGTACCAGACGGGAATCTCTAATGCAGGCGTCACACTGTCCCGAATTTGGCATCAGATGGACACACGAATAAGGAAATGTTCAAATTCGGATCTGATCGTAATAACATCGTGCCATTCGTGAGGGCATCTTTTGCCATCGTATGATCCCCGGCTAAATATTTCAAGCTCCGGCAGCAACTTCGTGAGCGGTTCCAAAATCTTTGGCATGCCAAAAAATTGCCCGAAGACATTGCGAAGGTTCATTTTCGTGTTGAAATCGTATGTCAATTTTGCCCTTCGTAAGGCTGTCGTGAAGCCATCTTGTCAAATCGTGTAGTCTTCGTCTTTTCTTCGTGTGGTCATTGGTGCAATCTGGCATTTTTAGCCTCAAGAAGACAATACGAAGTAAACACGAAGATTCCCGATAGTCTTAAGAAGGGAACACGACTTCGTGAAGCACCCGCAAGACCGTCGTGTCACCATCGTATTTTGGTACGATGTCATCGAGATGGGACCACGATGAGGCCGAAGAAAGCAATTTTTAATGGCTCAAGCGTTGCATGTTTATCATGGTGGACATATAAACGGCTAGACCATCTTCCTCATCTGTCACTCTTGCACATCTCTACAGAGACATCAAAAGATTCCATTATTTCCAATTAATTTGCAATTATTTACAGTTTATTTCCTGGAGAATTGCATGCTTTGGTGATGAGTCAAAGTGTCACCAAAACAGTATGAAATAACAAAGACGTGCATCTGAGGAATAAAGAGGGGTGCCGCCTTGGACTGGTCAGCAGCATAAGTACTACTGGGGAGTTTAAACCGGTTAATGGTGCACCAAACCTCACTCTTAGCCCACCATGTTCTTATAAACGAGACGGTGTAAATAAAATGAATCCCCGCGAAGTAAATTTATAACAGTTGTTATGGTTTCAAAAGGTAAAATAAGTAAAACACCGAAATGATCATGTAGATACATATAAAGGAATACCCATATGACCATAACAAAAGTACTCAATATTTTAAAGGAAGACAGAGTAGCAAAAAAAATCACCTACAAGGGTCCGACGAAGCAAGGCAGAAGACGAACATTAAGGCAATTCAGTCCCAAATGGCATTAAGAACTGTCCATCATAGAGTATCCAAATTGGTCCGTCAGATGTAATCAAAAGAGGAAAGGACCAACTGTTAAAGTGTTGAACACTAAGCATGCGGTATAATTGGTCCGTCAGATGTAATCAAAAGAGGAAAGGACCAACTGTTAAAGTGTTGAACACTAAGCATGCGGTATATCTAAAAAAGTATGGTCAAAACCGCTTTTGGTTAAACGTTAATAATTTTAGTAAAGGCCACAGAAAAATTACAATGACATCTCCATTAAAATCATTTTTAAATCACTAATGAATTTTGAGATTAAATCAAAGTTACGATTGTAAAATTTTGTAAAATATTTACGTAATTTATAATAGCGGTAGCCCTTATTGAGTAGCTTGCTAGTAATGAAAATATAAGGCTTGTTAAAATCCTTCACGTTGCTAAAAGCCCTAGCAAAGATACATATACCCCGTCAGATGTTGCATGCGGTACGTCTCCATCTTAATGTGGATAGTTTACTGTACCATAGTCAAAGTAATCACTTTTATCATAGATTTTTGTGTGAATAGAATTGTTTTTTGATAGTAATATGAAGAGCCAAAATAAAGTTTAAACGAAGTTTAATTAGCTCCCGATACTATCTGCAACTGAAGTTTGCCGCGGTTGGCCGTGAGTTGTATACCAACTGAAGGTGAAGGTCACTTGACGCCTTCGTAACCACGTACGAAGGCAACGTACTCAAAATACGACGTCGTGTACCTATCCTGTGACCTTCGCGTGTGCTGCTGGTAAACTACTTGGTACAAAATTGCATATTTGAGGTGACTTCGTGTGTGTATCGGATGCGATCTCGTGACCTTCGGTAGGAATCGTGTGTGACTCGGATGCGATCGCGTGACCTTCTGTAGGAATCGTACTTGTTTCGGCTGTTCAGAGACTGTCGACCAATTTCGGGGCTATCTTCGCACGAAATTAAAATTTTCATATTCGTATGCCCTTCTTGTGTCAATTTCGGGACAGTGTGACGCCTGCATAAAGATATTGACAGACACCATTTATTCAGACGTATTGTTACACATATTTTATATATGTTTGATGAACTTATCTATTTTACTAAAAAAAAAAGATTCAAACTCATTTATCACAATAAGCGATTTCAAGCAAGTCGTCCATTCTCTTTCAATGTTTCATAGAAAAAATGAATGCTACATTAATTATAGATTGACTATGCCCAATGTATCTAGTGAATGCAATGATTTTGTGGAGGCGATAGTGATCTATCGCAGGATTGAAGTCACTTTGCGCTCGCCCAAGAAATATGGCTGCTGTGCGTCTTTTGGCCAAGGATTAATTGATTAATTGATTTTGTACATGTACATATATAGATTTTATGAATTTTCCTGAAAAAGACCATTTTCTTGAGGCAGTCATGACCTACTTATTGGTCAAATTTCGGTTCGAATTGGCTAGTGCAATACCCAGGTATCTCCCATTCACGACAATATTAGGCATATGGCGCTCGCCCAAGAAAAGAAATTTAACTAGTAACAACCAAATGTCCGTGTGACACGAGTGTTAGACTGAGCTTTATTTGTTCGGTATATAAATTATTTCTATTAATTTTTGTGAAATAGCCATTTTCTAGAGGCAGTTGAGCCCTTACTCGTGGTACATTTCATAAGTCTACGATTTTATATTATCAAATGCCATTGAGTACTTTTTGTATTGGTTTCCTGTTTAAATTGAGCACCAATTTTTTGAAAGACAGCAGAGCTATGTCATGACTAACTAGTAAGCGTTTGTTATTTTTTTTACGTTTATGCTCATTCATATAAATACAATCAAAACTACATATATTACATGTACAGTCAAAACTGTCTTAAGCAGCCAGCCAAGGGATGCAGTCATTTTGGCTGCTTAAGACAGGTGGCTGCTGAATGGAGGATCCAGTTTTTATCCAAATAAATTATTCATTTCTTTGTAAAATAAATCTGATTTAAATATAAATAAACCAGTCTGATTCATCATCATCATCATCATCATCATCATCAGTTTTTAACCATTTACAAACGTATGCTATTAATGGTTTAACATGTACACACTCCTTCCAACATATAAAGCTTTACATGAATGTTACACAGATAAACAAATGCACTCACGATTTATTATGTCAATAATTGAAACTATTTATCCCATAAAAATATCTTCTTGCACAATGATTTAAAATGCGTAATATTTTCTTCACAAAAAAGTATGACAGTTTCTTTTCAATAGAATATTGTGTAAACGTAATCAAATATTTACGGGATGCAGCTTGATGTAAATGGTAAATAACTTCAATTTTGAAACTTAATTTAAACATAATTCATTTCAAACAACAGATATTAATAATATATATGATATATCAATAAATATATTGAAAAAGGGATAAGAGCCGAAACTATAAAGTTATTAACGGTCTCCTCGTATCATTTTTTTCTAAATAGTAAATTATGACACTATTTGTGATATTGTTTGAACAATGAAGTTGATTTTTAACAGATTTGGAATGTAAAACGAATTCAGAGAATCAACATAGTGGAAGTTGCAATTGTTCAAAAGACCATATTATAAAGAAATGCTTGGATAGAATGACAAAGAAGTTTGACAAAATTCATTCGGATAGGTCAAATAGCAAATTATTTTGTTTATCTAAGCTCATGGAATCGGTTAATTTCACGCATGTATAACTGAACTGTTTGAACGTCTTTGAGACTAAATAACATGGCTAAGATTCTGGTCTCCGTTTAGTAAATTATGAAGTGTTGTAGACTAGTAAAGATATTAAAGATATCATCAAAGAGTCGGGAGTCTGATATCATTATACATGAATAGAAGTGACACTCAAAGTAGAAGTGGTGGTTACTCCCCAGGAGGCAACATTGACAGTTTCTCCTCGGACAGTCAGCAATTAAAGTGTAAAAATCTGGACAAAATGTTATCCTTCGGAACCATTTATAACAACAAAATACATGAAATTGCAGACTCGGTTTGTTCGAGTCTGTTCAGGAGGGATAATGATAAAGTGCAACATTCCTCACGCCCCCCTAAAACCGACTTGAGCGGTACTCAATTTTCAACACTTATTGTGCTGGAATCAATGATCCAAAAGGACCAGAAATTAAATGTGACATTTTATGATAAAGATTTTTTTCTGAATTATGTAACATTGTATTTGAACAATAATATATAAGTGGTGAGAAAGTTACATCTGGATATAACCATTGTATCGTTGGAATAAACAATTAAAATAAAATATATTTGTATCAGCTTGACTGTGATGAAAGGTTGATGCCTATTTCCACCATTCTTTCAATTAACAATCAGTGGTTGTAAACTTGTCTCTCAGAGAGCCAATTCAATATTTGTAATATTTATTATGTTGACTATGCTGTGTCATTAGGTATTAAAACCAGTTATATACTGTTTAAAAAACGAAAATGCCAGAGTGGTTCAATATGCCGACTTCAAATCTCATATGCTGGTATGGACTTAGGATAAAAATATCCGGCTATATTAGGGAAAGTTGATGGGTATCCGAGATAACTAGTCAGGACTAAATTTCTAAAATTTTAATTCATAAGCTCCAGATATTTATTCCAGATTCCTCTGTATTTAACGCTTTAGTGATATACATGCATATCTTTAAGAAAAGAAACGTAACTTAATGGACTCTGGAAATTTTCCTCCATTCAAAGAATCCCCAATAGCAGCTTTATACCTTGTCACATGAGATAAATTTACTTCTTTTGAATATTTAACATTATTTTTATATACAAGGAAAAGTATGTGTTTCTACTCGGGTGCCGCTGGCCTAAATAATGCACGAATGAGCACACAAGAAATTTCTCCAACAGTCAACTCCACTATGACTATTGTCATAGTAAAACTCAACAATATATTTGTTACGTGTTTGACAAATAAACATTTTACAACCGATCTTCAGCTGTGTGTCGTCCGTGCCAGCAATAGATTACGAAACATTACAAGCCGCTTAACTATTCTAGACATACAAAATTATAAAATCTCCCTCTTTTTCCTTTTATGTCTATTGTAAATTCTAAAAATCTCCCTCTTTTTGAAGTAAATTCTCCCACTTGAATGCTGAAAAAATATCACATGTATTAGACAGGTGACAAAGTTGATGCAAGAAAGTTATTCTTCCCTGTAGTGACAAAGGGCACCGACTTATGCCGAGTACAGTGACCTTACCGAGATTAGGTAGATACATGTGCAATGGCGTAGTAAAAGACAACACAAGTTGGAACGTAGGCTTCAAAATCAATCCTGATGTGTCCGTATACTAGGGGTTACATGGGGCACAGAAGACTAAATAACAGCTTCATTTATACGACTTAATATTCTGGAAATTTCAGAGGTTAATTTTCATCAGTTTTTATATCCACACATTTATAGTACGCATGGGGACATGATCATGTAGCTTAATTATCCTGTGTCTCAAAGGGTGGGAAGACCCTTCTTCAGCTAAAACAACGTGATAAATCTATTCATCGAAATACACACTAACTTCCTCTATACATTCGGCTGAGGTAAAATTAAAGAAAAAATAACAAGATTGGTTGACAATACTATTTACTCAAATTTACAATGTAAGTTTAAAAACAACAATTGAAAGACATGCATTAAATAAATAACACATTTTGAACAAAAGAATTGTATATGTTTTCCTTTTTTTATTCCCCCCAAAACATTTGCAAGTAAACTGACATCTAATTTTAAATGTAAATATATAAATTGAAGACAAAGCTAGGTTTGAATCTTCTAACATTCCATATTTTCATTACAATTATTAATAGCTTGTACATTTATATATTGTTTATCAAAATATGAGTCACGTGATTTTGTCAAACTTTTTTCCCTTGCCCAAAAGATGAAAGTTAATGGTGGTCATGATGGTTATACTAAAGTTGAAGAAATCAAATAAACACACTACATGTAGCTTTTATTCAGTCAGCTGTTGTTATGTAGATAAATGATTTGAACGTTTGTTCTTTATTGTTATCCTACTTTAAACTATGCTCACATTTGTTACTTTAGGATATTGGTTATCCAAAATAATTGTCGTTTTTTGTACAATAAGAGTCACAAACTTTATGACCTTGTAAACTTGTATAACAAAATAGTCAAATCTGACAAGATTTTTACCATCTTAATAATAGATGATGCATATTATTACTCACAATGTAAGTCAACAAAATTTCATAAAAATCAATACTGCCTAAAACGTGTATCAATGTATGATTTGTTGCAATAATGTCCACATCATAAGTTTATGTAGACAACAAAGTTTTTTCATTTTACATTTTCATCTAAAATTAATGTTCATTTTCCCTAAACCTCATGTGCTTTTATACTCCATAAACATAAGGTGTCCCCTATATCTGATACTTTTACTCTAGTGTTCCTATATATAATCCCTTAAAAATTCTTTGTCCCAATAAAATTCTGTAAGTGTTGTCCCTTTATTTTCACCATGCTTGTTATGCATTTATTTCTCTTTCACACTATGTCCCTTCATTTTCTATAAATATCTGATGTCCTTAAAGCTTAATAAACATTTTTGTTCAGTTTTGTCATCTCTGTGGTAAATGTGGAGCAGACGTATTATAATAAATAATTTAAGTGAATGTCAAGGCCTAATATAGAGCTATCATCATTTCTTTTGTTGTAGAAGTCTCTCGTTCTCCTTCTGTACAATCTTAACAAGCTTCTCTTTGTACTTGTAGATATCACCTTCATATTTCGTGATCGTCTCATTTGCACATATCCAAATTTCTTCAGTAACCTGTTTAATGTTTCAATAAAAAATATTTAATTATAATTTGTGTTTATCTGGCGTTTTTTGACACAGCTTTCCTGGCTAGCTACCCAGTAATTACCAATTTTTGTTTTTCTGGGGTTTTTTTAATGCCAATTTTCATATATTTTTGGTCATATCTTGCCAGTTGATCCACCTAGCAAGGTTTCCTGGGTAACTAACCAGTTATTACCAATTTCTCAGAGGTAGAAGTTATGTATGGAATATGAAGTCCACAATTCATTAAACAGCTTAAACTAAAAAGTTGAATAAATGTATACTTTTTATTTTTAAAAGGGATGGGTTTGATTACCAATAGGAATATACCAATGTATTTAATACATACCTGTGATATAAGTCTGAAGTCGTGACTAACTAGAATCATTCCACCTTCAAAGTCATTGATAGCATCAGCTAGAGAATCTATAGTCTCTATATCAAGATGATTGGTAGGTTCGTCAAGAAGTAACAGATGTGGTGCTTGCCATGACAACCAGGCAAATATCACACGACATCGCTGACCATCAGATAAATTACGTAGAGGTACGACCTGTTCACATATAAGCATAAGAATATAAACATGATTTGTATCTGTTGGAAGACTGACTTACATTTTATGTTTTGTGACTGGGTTACCATATAAATATTGTCTTATTGACTGATTGCAGTAGAAGCTTGCTGCTAGTATACTACTTTAATATCCTTGGGCTCTTTCTCGAGTAATTAAATAATTATTGGCCTGATACAGTTAAACAGTTACAAGTTTGATGACTAAATAAAAAGTGCTGTACTGATGTCTGCATGTCCACTTTAGTGCTGTTTAATATTAGATACTAAAGATAGTAAATAAAAACATTAAGAAAGTTAATATCAGTATGAAATGTTTTTCAAGTTGATGTTATATCAAATATACTAGGTTTCAATGTATCAATTTGTCTTTATTTATTTGGAAATGAGCCATTACAATTTGGACTATATAAACCTGCAGACATCGAAAAGTGAAATACTTTTCAAGCATCAACATTGATCATATTAGCTAAATCTTGTCAACATCTCAAAAGTCTTTTTGTGATAAATAACATAATGAAATTTAAACCTACATTTTCAATAACAAAATTTAAGAATTCACAGGATTACCTACCAAATTACAAATTCAAATGTAAATTAATGTCACAAAGACATACTTTATAAAAGAGAAGGCCAACATGAGAAGAACAAACTGATTATAAATCTTTTTTTACAAATAATCATCAGTAACATTATTGTTGTACCTGTTGTTGTCCAGTCAACCCATAACGCCCAATGATTTTTCTCATTTCCTCTCGTTCCTTGATATCTGGAAACTGTTTCATCATCCATTCAAGAGCATTCATGTCCATGTCTAATATCTCGTGTAAATGCTAAAATATAATATAATGACAATGAAGTATGATCTGTTTACTCTGACAGTGTAAATAATTATGTTTTAGCCTTGGACCTTCCTAGTTTCTTAACTGGACTTATTCCCTTTCCACTTTTGGAACTTAACATAATATATACATAATGGGAATATCTGGATAAAATTTTTGAAATTGATCAGCCAACAGTATTGATTCTGGTCAAACTGCTACATGAAAATAGTCTGACCAGACTCTATACTGTTGGCAAAAACTAATGAATCTCAGTTCCAGCAAGCTATATGTTCAGGTTCTATGCTAAATCATGAATAACATCAGCACATTTATCTGAAAAATTTATGTTTACTACGCAAACCTCCTTTTTTCCCTAAGTAAATACATTTGTCAACAGTTCTAATAGAATCATAGATATAAGGACAGTAGTGCTAATTTTAATGTATTCAATCAATTAGAAACAAATATGTACATACATCAATTTTAGAGAAAATTTAGATTTCAAATAAAAACTAACTACAACATATTGTTATGTTTTTGTTCAGGTAACAATAAAACCTGAACCAACAATACTACTCATTATATAAAAGTACCTGGTGATATCTGCCAATCTTTAAATGTGAATGTCTTCGTACCAATCCATCAGTTGGTATCAACTGTAAAATAACAAGGACAAAATTGTTTCTTATTTCATTAAAAACATACAAATTAAAAATCTCATGCAATTATTCCTTCTAATTTTCTTTTGTAAATGCCAGTATATACCTGTTTCTCACAACAGATTTATCATTTAACAAAATGAAATCATTGTCTTATTTTCTATCTAAGGGGAATGGTGGCAGGGCCCATAGAGAGCAGAAATTGTGTTGCAAGGAGGAAAAGTTATAAACAGTCAAATCTCCATATTTCATACAGTCAAATCAGTCCATATTTTATCAAACTGTGATATATTAGTAATACTATTATCATGATGGCCCATTCTGTCTCACTATTGTTATAATGTGAAAAAACTGCATCACAATATATTTATAAACTTTTTTAAACTTGTGTCCAAGCAGTCAGACAAGACTTTGCACTGCCTCATTTTGAACTGTTTGATATCATCCCTTGAAAAACAACTCAAAGTCCAAAGTTCAAACATGAGTTAGTCTATAAAACAAAATCAATATAGACAACATTTGCTTGTATTTGTAAAATAAATTCTTACATCGCCTACAATCAGCTTGAGTAGTGTTGATTTACCAGCTCCGTTTGGTCCTACTAGTGCAACTCTTGTATCTAAATCTACTCCAAAATCTAAATCCTTGTAAATGTAAGGCTGAAAAAAACAAAGCAATACAATTGTATACATTATATATCATTTGAAACATTACCCCTGAATAATTAGCTGTAAAGAAAATGAAAGATGTTCTTAGTCAATATACATGTATATAGATCTAACAGGGCCCTCAATTCACAAAGTTTGGTTGGAAATTCAATACCTTTCCCCTCTCCCTCAAAAAATATGTAGTTTTTCCCTATTTTTAAAGAATATTCCACTCCATCTTTTTTACATTTTTGCCTACCTATACTTGCCAAAAACATGATACACTTAAACAATATCCAGTTGAAATTTGCTTCCCCTCCTATAAGTACAAGTTCTGTTCTGCATCAATACACAGAGAGCCCTGGTATATAAAAGATCTATCAAAACTTTTCTAGGAACTAGATATTAATTATGTTTTGATGTTATATGTTGTGTTTACATTTCTTTTTTTGTTCTGTTCATAAAATAAAATATTTCACTCTCAAGGCTGAATCTATATAATAAAATCATAGCGTGTAGTGTGCTGGAATATTTTTTATATATCAAACATGTTTAAGTACATGTTGAAATAAAAGCGTTTCACAAACTTAGTTATAATTACTTTTCTTGTCAAGTTTTGTGAAATAAAAACAAAATTCCACCACTATCATGACTAGATATAAATAGTAAACTATCACAGTAAAATCAATACTCTAAATGTAAGCCTAAGTTACCCATAAAAGCTAATCAAGCAGGCCTTTTATTTCTTAGAAATCAAATCAATTCGTTACATATTCAACCTTACATTTCTGAGAAGAGAACTACTATGATTTCTTATAAGGAATCAATAGACTTTCACTTGAACACTTATACCATCCTCAATATCTTGGACACATTTCCATCTGCACAAATCCATTTAACAATTAAAGAGTTTATTTGTTTGATTGTGTTTTACGTCACGCCGACACAGTATAGGTCATATGGCCATGTTCCAGCTTTACTGGTGGAGGCAGAACTCGGGTGCCTTTCTGTGCATTATTTCAGGCACAAATGGGCACCTGAGTAGAACCACCGACATTCTGTAAGCTAGCTGGATAGCTTCCATACATGAAAGAATCCAAAGTCCCTCTCAGGATTCGAACCCACAGCAGTGAGAGGCAAGTAGTTTGAAGTTAACAACCTTAACCACTCGGCCACATATCGATTAAGGAGAATTTTTTCCAAATATGTACATAGCAAAAAAGCCAAAACTGCAGACACAATGTGTAGAATCTGTTGTCACCAACAGGGCAAAGAGTTTCAATACTTAGAAAAATTGAGCAAGGGCTTTAATTTCTAATAAGAAATCAATACATAACAATTAGATGCTTACAAGGAAACAAACAATTTAAACAACTCAAATGGAGCGATTGCTGCTGTTTAAATATATATTTTTCTTATTAACATCTAACTAACTTAGTCCTTGATCTACTTAGAATAGACTTTTGTGCTGTCTATCATTCAAAACAGACCCACTTTTGAAATGAATGTATGTTTAACATTAGACTGTCTAAAGTTTTCAAATTTAAGCCACTTCATTGGACAACAATGGACAACATGGGCTACAGTCTACATACATATATTTTAAATTATGAATGAGAATTATTATATATATGAGCCGCGTCATGACAAATCCAACATAGTGTGTTTGCGACCAGCATGGATCCAGACCAGCCTGCACATCCGACCTTTACAAATAGAGAAAATAATAGCAAACAGCATGAATCATGATCAGACTGCCCGGATGCGCAGGCTGGTCTGGATCCATGCTGATCGCAAACGCAGAAATCAAGGTATACTTACAGTTTGCTCATTATATCTGAAGCTGACATGCTGAACCATTATCACAGGAGGTGGGATATTTCCACAACTTGGGAAATAGAATGATAAAGTCTGAAATAAAACATTTCACCCTGTTTATTGTCACTTAAAAGATAAAACTTATAGTGTCCAAAATAAATGACCAATAAAGACTGACACAAGTGTACCCTTTGTAAGATTTTTTTTTTTTTTTTTGAAAACTTAACATCTTTGAAACATAATAATCTGTACATTTGTCTACCTATAATTCTAAAAATTTAAATAAAATGACACAACATAGGATAATTATATGTGACATATTAATTTGAAGAATGAAAGTTAACAAACCTTGTCTGACGTCACTTTCTCTGCTAGTCCTCCTTCTACCATCTTCTTCAAAGTTTTTTCTTTACTCTGAGCTTGTCGTGCCAACTTAGCACTACCGTGACCAAATCTTGCTATATAATTCTGAAAGAAGAACAAAATAAGTATTCTTGTTGCTCCTGTTGTAATTAAACATTTACAGCATTTTTCACTGAATATTTAGCATTCATTTGGAAATCATAGTTTTCCATCAAAAGTTTTATCAAGATTTGTTCAAAATTTGTTGATTTTTCGTAAATACAGAATACACATGTATTTCTATCCTTTCAATTTCAACTGTGACCTATGATGATGAGACTATGAGCTATATCTCACTTCTTGATGTGATATAATCTATATCACACTAAACAAGCATGTACAATAAAGGAGATCAGATATTTATGTGTATCGCTTCCTATTTTCGAGCATCATGCAAGCTACAATCTGCAAGCAGAGAGCGAGCACTAAACCTCGGCCTTTTTAGTCATCATTTCTCCTTTATCTCCCTACTCAGACTACTGTTTGAAAATCATTTGCTTACATTGGTTTGGAAAGACACCTAAGCCTCTTGATTTTGAGAAGAAATATCACTAAAATTGCTAATTTGGAAGTTAAAAAGATAGTGTAAGTTCAGATTTTTGGGTAAACTGTATGATTTCAAATAAAATTTCCATTGGGAAGATGCCTTTTATATGCCTCTGTTTTATAAGGTGAAAAAATCACTGAGGTTGGCCTCAGGCATGTTGTGCTCCGATAACCAGGGACTACCATGTAACCAATGAAATATAAGCTTTCCTAAAATATGCAATCAATAACTTTTAATTAAAATCAAAATCATGTCAGTTTATATAAAATCAGTGGTGTAGGGCTTAATTTCATACACTTAACATTCAAAATTACCATAAAATTATTAAACTAACAGAAAGCACCATTTTTGTCTATATCAACATTTAAAACAGTATAATACAGCAAGGCAAGGGAGACATAAAGTTTACTAGAATTAACAGATCGTATAAGGTTTCAGATTGAAAACTATAAAACAGCTATCATAAGGCGAAACTTCAATCTGTAAACAGAGAGTCTCAAGCCTTGGCCTTTTCTTAGTTGCTCATCATTTAACCTTGTTGAGTATTTTGAAATGAGCATTTGCTATGTACTGTGTCATCAACATAACATAATGTTTAATGTTAAATGAAATTCACTGCACAATTTATTTAATGGACTGCCTTGCTTTGAATATGAAATTGTTCAATCTTATTTAAACGGTTTTAAATATCAAAGTGTTAAAAACTGCCTTGGAAGTAAACAGTATAAAGTATGGTATGGACTCTATACTAGTAGCATAATAGTTAATAAAGCATAATGCTTAAATTTTAAACTTGTATATAATCACATGTATTAAAAAGTCGAAAAAGGGGCATAATTCTGTCAAAATGCTTGACAGAGTTACTTCCTCCTATCTACAGGTTTGAGTACTGATGGTGAACAAGTGGGCAAAGTTTTAAAGCCATATTTCAGTGGACTTTGAAAATATTTGAGGTGTTACAAAAACATAAGTGGTTTTGCCAACACTCAGGTGACTAGGATAGCACTACTTATTCTTATAGAATATCCAAGCTAAAAATTGAGCTAACTGTGTTATATGTACAGGTATAAAACACGGTGACATACCTTCATATGAGCAATCTGATCCTGTTCCCAGCGGTACTGCTTCATTTGATTCTCCTCTAACTCAAACCTGGTCTGTATATAACTGTCAAAGTTACCCTGTAAAATAATTACAAGTTATCTAGTAAAATAAATATTTGTTAAGTTAAATTGACAGGATCTAGCAACTCATATAAATCATTTCTAGGGCTGGTTCCTAGAACTTGTGATCATATGAGGAATTATGGGTAAAACTTGTGTTTGACTTGAACCCGAGTCCCTGGTTAGAGACCCAGGCATGATAACTAATCCTTAACAAGAAGACACCTAAGTAAACCACAAACCTTCTGTAAGTTAGCTGGATATCTTTACTGCATGAATTAATCCAAAGTCACTGACAGATAAAAACCCATTGTATTACAAGAATAAATAAATGAGAACTTACACCAAATATTTTTATTTTCTGTTTGTTCATATGTATGATATTTGTACAGACACCATTGAGGAAATCCTGGGAATGTGATATCACCACCAATATCCTCTTGTAGCTGCAAAGAGAATTATATTTTATTACCTGATACCTTATATAAATGTAATTTGGTATTTTTATCTGTTTTCTGATATCCTAAAAACGTCAACGTTCGCGAACTGTTGACCGGTCAATAGTTTCGACTGTTTCCCTTGCGTGCTCTGATGTCATTGACGTCATAGAGGATTCCCACTTGAAGCGTCCATCGATCTTGATCATAAATCAGACGTGATGTGACATAGTAAAAATATTAAGTTTGATTATTAACATATTTGCAAAATTATTTACTTGTTCCTTTTTTCTTCTGCAAGTACTGTTAAAACACTAATTGATCAGGTGTCGGGGATAGTGTTTTGAACTGTTAGTCTCGGCCTACGGCCTCGGGCAACAGTTCAAAACACTACCCCCTCCACCTCGGGCAAACAGTATGACGGTTCCCAAATCACATATGAAATAACTGTATACTATAACATTGTATGTGTCTATATAATAATATTAAGTCTGTCCTAGCAGACGGTCATTGCTGGAATCATAATATGAACAGACTGAGTCATGCTGTTTTTCTATCACAGTAGATCTATTTGTTATTCAAAGTTATACTCATCAGGTTTCACACTGAGTAAGCATGTGAATAGTTTTTTTTACAGTTTAACAGAAAATCAAATTATCATGAGTGTGTTAACAAAATTCATACAAACTTGAATATCTCTTTTATTGCATTTTTCCTGTCACCACAAATCATGATGCAACACTATAAATAATCCAATTATGCTAAAAATAGTGCTGTGGTGACATAGAAACACCTCAATACTCTAACTGTATAACATTTAGAGGAAAATTCTTACTTCTTTAGTTCCTCTTCTAACCATACACAGGCGTTAAGATCTAGATGGTTGGTTGGTTCATCTAACAACAGTAGAGCAGGCTTCATAAACAAAGCCCTAGCTAAAGCTATCCTCATACGCCATCCTCCGGAAAAATGTTTGACTGCTGTGTGCTGCATCTTAACAGTAAATCCAAGACCAGTGAGAATAAAAGCAGCTTTTTGTTCTGCCTTGTCGGCATCAAGTTCTTCTAAATGCTCATAAACATCCATCAAACGTTCGTGAGATTCTGGAATAGGTTCAACAAATTATCATAATTTATCCCCACTGGTCTGTAACGGACAAGAATAGGTTCAACAAATTTTACTGTCTTAACTTGTTGTAATTGGTCTCTTAATAACCAGAAATATTTCTCTTTTGGTGTTATAGACAAGCATCTGCTTTTATCACATACATCAAGATGTTTAGTAGTCTTTAAGATCTTTACTACTACAAACCATGTAATAATATCTGATATTATATTTGAACAAAATGTGTGTCTTTCCTTGGTACTGATAATTATCTACTATACCTTTTGAACACACATGTATTGACTGTTGATATCTGTATCAGCACATATTACAGGTATCATAGTGTATTATTACCCCTCACTTTTTTTGTAATGTTAATTTCCCATAGCCCATTATAGGCCTCTGGGAGTTATTCTTACTGTTAATGCAGGTGTACCACGTGACTAAGAATTTTGAACGGTTACATAGGTAACAATACTTTCTAACAGTATAAAATCTGATCACGTGGTCTATTTTCTGAATTAAATGAGATAAAATAGCCACCATTTTTTTCTCGATTCTTTCTTATTTTCGACTTCACCACTATAGGACATCAACAGAGTAACTATGACACCCTCAAAGTTAGTTGTTTGCACCCTGAAGTGCTTTTCGCTTATAAAATATCTTTTTGTTGAATAGTCAAAAAGTGAACATCTGTTTCCAACAGACATAATTGCAATGTGAATAAGTATGAGTCAAACTGGAACATGCGCAACAAAGGATTATTTAACAATTTTAATCAGTGAAACGTTACAGATATGGTGGACAGACATAGGATATCATTGTTTTTTTGTCAAAAACCATGCGAAGAATATTCTGGATACAGAAGGATCAGATTTCACAGATCATAACTGTATAAATGGGTTAGTGTTTTGTTTTCTAAATAAAACCTAGCTTACTGTATGTTTATGACTAGTAGATATCATCACTTGCTTTAAGAATAAAAGAAAACGTCTCAAGTAGGCCTAAATACATTTAAAACGTAAAAGGTAAGGACAGTTTAGTTATTGTTGCTCTTGGTTTATTTTTGTTACAATAAGATTTAGTTGACAATTTCAGATAATCAGAGTATGTTTGTTCAGGGTAATAAAATAAATAACATATGGGTTTGTGAGTTACAGTAAAAATATCATCCCTCGTAAAAATACTGTTATTTTCCTCGGGATGATTATTTTACTGTTACCCACAAACCCATGTGTTATTTATGAATTATTTTTGTGGTGTATCATTTCATGACACACAGCATGTTTACCATGGTTTTACCAAGAAAACAGTAATTTTATTTCTGTTATAAACCAAAGGGGTTCTTTGATAAAGTTTGGGAACATGGCTCATACCCTTAAGGTGAAATTTTAGTGTTTTACACAAAATTTTGAACTTTACACATTGTTTTTATGAAATTTCAAAATCGAAGAAAATAAATGTTTCAAAACAGTATAGAATCTGGTGAAACAACATGTATATATCATCAAGTCAGTTACCATTATCATCTTTAGTGGCAAGTACTTCAGCCTCTCTCTCTAATCGTATTCTAAGTTCATCCACTTCCATTACACATTCCATAGCAGTTTTATCACTAGGTGGCATTTCTCGACGTAACAAAAACGTATCTATATGATCTGGTATAGGTAATTCTTTCTGTGCTAACGCTGCTAACAACGTAGACTTCCCTGAAAATAATATATGCCAATAGTGTTTTATGTCCAACTTTTAATACCATAACTTTTACTTGAATTGTTGATCGACCAACCATGAACAGGCCCAATAAAACAGAACCTGCAACATTTTCAGTTTTGTCATTTTTGTATCCTATAGAAATTGTGTTTTTCTCAATTGTTATGGTAGTTTGGACAACTATTATCATAACTATAGGACAGGTGCGACCTCTGACAACTGCATCAAGAAATTAATTCTTTAGCTCAGTGATCTGTAGGTTTGTCATTTTAGTTTGTAAGTAGTTTTGGTGTGAGGTCATGTGTTTGCCAGGATATTTTCTGTACATTTGTATCTTTCTGTTACAATGTTTTATGATTATTTTATTGAAAATTTATCCTCAACAGGTATATAGCTCAAAATTTACTTACCGCAACCATTGAGACCAATTAATCCATATCGTCTCCCACAATTTAACTCTAGTCTACTATCTACTAAAAGCTCCGCACCATGGAAACGTATAGTTATGCTATCAAGATGAAGGTCACGACTGTCATAGTGTGAGGCTAAAACACCTGCTACTGACCTAAACTTGGCAGCTAGTTGAAGTTCATCCAACTGTTCTGTTATACCATTAACATCTAAATATAAAATATTCAACATTAATGTACCTGCATCATTGCGAAAGTGATATAAAATATACATGTATTTCATCTAAAGTTAGTATGTCATTGACTAAGTGAATTAGATAATGTGCATGTAACAATGCTTTTCCATCATGTTTTACTATTATCATCTTTCCATGTTACAATGTCGAGAGAAAAAATAGCTGTACTTATTTAAGATCACTTATGTAAGTTCCTGATAGGAGAGTGGAAAACAGGATGATTAAGAAAAATCTACACTATCAAAGTGAATCTAGGCATTCAAATGGAAAATTATCCAGCTGAATTTCTTAAATGGACTTGTCCAGCTTTTATCTTTAGAACTGTCCATATTCAGTTTTGGGGATTATGTAGTCACAGTAGATGAAAATTTGAAGTTAGTCAACCAACAGTATAGAGTCTGGGTCAAACTTCACAGATGTGCAGGTTGACCTGGCTCTACATAAGACTTAAGTGGCAAAAGCAAATCAGTTCAGGTTCAACTTCCAGTAAGATAAGGGTTAAGGCAATTTATCTATATCTGCAAAAGAAATTTAATATCCTCAGATGGCCCACTGCAAGTCTTCAACTGATTACCATGGTAACCAATCTGTTACATTTATAGACCACATGTCTAGTAATGTAATAAGCAGTCCTTATCATCACCGGATATTTTGTAAATTTTTCAATATTAAAGTGATTTCTACCTTAAAATTTCAATCCATAAATTATAATCAAATTAACAGTTATTAAGATTTAGTCTTAAATAAATCCAACTGAAATTGAACAGTAATGAATTATCAATTAAAAACTTTTATATAAAGGGACAGGTTAATGTGTTTGCTTTAAACAGGAGGGTTAAATGAACAGCCTGGTGGACGCAAAGTCAGTGATTTTTCTCACTTAATTGGGAAGAGGCCTTAGCCTCTTGATTTTGGGAAAAAATATCCCTAAAACTGCTGATTTGGGAAGTAAAAAAGCTGGTTTAAGTTCAGATTTTTGGGAAAACTGCATGATTTTAAAGAAAATTTCTATTGGGAAGAGGCCTTTTTTCGGAGTCTGTTATATAAGTAGGAAAGTCACTGAAAGTTTAGTATATACCCATGAAACCCCTGCAGACTAAGATCCGGTATTACAGCTACATGCCTCCAGATGAGCCGAAATATGTTAAAAATCAAATTTGAGAAACATGTACAAAGATTTAAGGAAAGGTAATAAGATTTGCTGATTAGAGATTCAAGTCATAATTCATGTTATGTGGGGTTTATTACCGTTTATGACTGATTTTTTCAGTATTTACAACTATATTTCTACTGCGTTACGAACACATTGATATTTTGACCTATTTTGGTAGTTTACGTACATTCATGGCCAAAACACCAACTTTGGGGAAGGGGCCTCAGCCTTTTTCTTGGGGGAAAAAATGCGAGATTATGGCATACTATGGGTAAAGGGGTCTCAAATTTAACACAAACTTTTAACAAGTTCTTCAAAATAGACAAGCAAAAAGCACTGGGAAATACAAATAAGGCGGTAAAAGACCTTAATTCAACACCATCATTTAATTTTTTTCTAAATTCTATGGGAAATTTTGAGGACCAAACTGGGGAAAAAAATAGGCTAGTTTGGTTGGGGAAGCAGCCTATATTCGGCCTCTACAAAGATAGGTTTTAGGCCCTGACATTACAAGTGTTATTGATAAAGTGTAAATTGCTTCCTTTTGTTATTTCACAATAATATACTTATAAACAGATTTTTAAAATTTTCCATAAAAATAAGCATGAATTTGGAGGCGTGCTGTTTTAAAGGTTATATTTTTTTATTTTGAATTTTTTACCAAAATGATCAATGGTCTTATCCTTATTAGAAGGACAAGATCTAAGATAATTAGTAAGTTTGGGTTAAACTGACAATATTCACAGATGATATTATTATTTTATAAGATAACTTACCATCCGTAGCACCATTGCTTACACCATTCTGTTCTTTGCCATTTGTTTCTGCATCCCCATTAGCTACATCTTCAGTTGGTTGCTGTTTTTTGCCACGCTTTGCTGCTTCTTTTTTCTTCTGTTCTCGCTTTTTCTTGGCATCTGAAGGCATCTTAACTTTTAAACCTGACTGAAGGGAGAGAAACACAAAGACTGTAATTTTAATTAACATGGTTTATGTATCAGATTCAGAGATGAAAGGGTACTAGTCTACAAACAGGTTTGTTGCAAACTATATAATAATTAACACAAACATAAACTGTAGATTAGCAATATTTTCAAGTAAAACACCTGGGATAAAAAGAACAAATCAGAAATCTTTAAACAACAGTTTTTTTTGTAAAAAAGGTATCATTCTTTTTATTAGAAATCAAGCAAACCAAACTACTGGTTGGAGATATAACTCTGACACTTGATAAACACAATTGTTAACTTTACACTATGTTTTTGAACAAACAAGCACATGGTCACCTACTAATGTAGGTTCAGGACAAAATGAAATGGTTTTTTTTCAATGTGGTAAACTTTTCAATGTTTTTCAAATAAACCTAACTTTTTCGTATACACAAAGAACGCCTAAAAATGTTCTTTTCACAGAATTACAAAAAGGTAGTTAGAATTGTATTGACCACAGGCCACAGACTAGGGAAAGATTTTTGAAAAATTGCTTAAAAATCAACAAAAAATAGATAAAATATAAGTTCTAAAACAGATTAATGCTGATTTTCCAGTCATTTTTTACTTAAAAACAAGTGTCAACTTTATCTACGACTAATGTTGTGGGGTAAAGAGACCATGTTTTGTATGGGCAGCACGAAATACCCAAATATTGCCTAAATATACCAAAATATTGCCTAAATATACCCAAATATTGCCCATTTATACTAAAAATAAATGTTTTATACTAAAAAAGTGCTGTTTTAATCATGAATACAATATACACTTTCACTAAGATATAATCATTTGTACCCAAATATACATTTTCTTATTATTGTGTTTTGAACCAAAATACAGTATATGTACTTTATTAAAGCTATTTTTTTAATAACATGGACATTCTTCTTCTGTATGATATGAAATTTCAACAAAATTACACCTTAAAATGTAAGTGTAGACAACAAATATCATATCTTGAATTAAATTTGCAAGTACAAAGTATAAAGAACCTATATTGTAGATAAGCAAATGTCACGTACAACTTTATTTTCTTGCAACATCTTAACTGCCCATTTCAACGGAATGAATTAAAGTTATAGCAGGCTAAGTCATATTATTTTATAAATATTTATTTATTTCTCATTATTATCTATATTTTATACAAACAAAAATAAATATTGCTATATTTGGGTATATTTGGGTATTTCGTGCCGCCGGTTTTGTATACCTCATTCAGGTCCTCAAAAAAGTACCAGTAAGAGTTTCAATTTTTTCATACATTATTTTTGTGGTGTTATGTAAAGTCTTTGAATTGAACTTTGTTTAGGTGGTACAGTATTTAAAATATACAGGAAGATAATTTAGATATTGTAAAAAATATGTGATTTAGTGTATTTAATTTTATTTGGGTGTGAATATGATTATTTAAATTTTTACAACCTGTTAACAATCATATGTTTAAATGTTTGATTCAATTACACAATTATAACATCATATACTTGTCTTAAATAAAAAATCATAACAACTGTAGTCAATCCCTCCTACATTACTGATTAGTCAGACATGTTTCCGTGATTTAATGAAGAAGAAAAAATGTTAATTTACATAATCATATGACATCAATTTACTACATTTTCAAATCTCACAATGATAATCCAAAACAGAAATGAATGTTTGTAATATAAACTAAACAAGTTTCACACATTAGATCTACAATCAATAATTTTTTTTTCATGACGAAAACCGCCGTTTCTATCCTCTTTTGTCACGTCTGGAGTGCGTGTGAGTAAAACAAAATACGGAGATTGAGAAATATGTCAATAAAACAAGATCAATAAATGCCAAGAATCTGTTCCATATAAATCATTTATTGCGTCTATAACAATGTAATAACATATTTACCTCTGATCTTTAAATAATTTAGAGTTTAATTGTCAGGATGTCAGCGGGAACATGTGTCTTTCTAAAAATAAATTTTCCTCCGGAAGTTGCGAAAGAAATTCTTTTTCTGGTTCCCTGTAAAATTTCCTGCATATACTCGATTACTAATAGAATGTAAACATTTAATCGAGCTGAAATTTTTTTTGGAAAAACATTTAAACAAACCGTTTAAACGTTTAAAATTTTGGATGACCAATTTATTTGAAGAAACGACACATAATAAATGAATTACGGACATTTCGGACCACGGACGTTTCGGACCAGACATTTCGGACCAGATTTTTGGGTCATTTCGGACCAGATTTTGGGACATATCGGACCATACGATGGTCATTTCGGACCATGATGGGGACACTTCGGACCAGAACATATATTCCTTTTTATATATAATTATTTGTTATTTCAGGATGTATTTACAATATTTGACATTTTTTTAAATTTTATGATATTCAAAATGCATGCAGTAAAGACCTGTCCGACGCGATTTTAACATTTTCTGATAAGCTTATATTACCATTGTTTTGACTATCCATGTAAAATATTTCTATCGTAATTCATTTATGTATTTCTATACGCTGACAATTTTTTAATATTAAAAAAAATAATTAAAACAATAATAGAATACCTTTAGATCTATATTGGTAAGCGTAGGATATACGCTGAATATACATATTTAAAGTCAACTTTATCCAAATTAAATCGTGGTCAATAATTATCTAAGTGTATACATTCAATGGTATGTATGTGTTTGTCAATAATGTATTTGTTTTATAAGAATATGTTGTAAATAATCTATTTCGCCATGTCTTTTTGTATATATTTTAAAATAAATTGTTTGCAAACGTGTGTCATTAAAACATTGCTTGTTTGTTTTTTAATTTTCTTCATTTATAGTGCAAAATATATAAAATCTAAATCGGGATAGGTGTAAAATCGTTCCATTGTGTCAATTATATATATAAAGAATTATCCTATTACCATATTAAAACTGTAATATTAATAATCGGTCGGATTCAAGCATAGGTTCCCTTGGGATTGCTTGTTTACAAACGTTATGCAGAAGAGAATATGTTCCGTTCACTACTTTGATACTTTTTCTGGATTCTTTATCAAAACTATCCTATTTTTCACTTGCAACTGTCATCTTTAACATGTTAACATTTGACGAAATTGTGATTCTCTTGTCCAGAAAAAAAAGATAAGACTCTGGCACATCTGTATAAAATTAACAGTCTATAATTCTAAAATATTTGGATTGGCTTAAAAGAATCTGAGTATCCCTTATCCATGGGGCTTTCTAGGAGACCCTTATCCATAGCGTTGCAGAAACACTGATTTTTAGATTGTCAAGTCTCTTGTATAGGCACTGCCTTAAATGGACATCAAGATTAGATCTCTTCTAAATTCTCCACACTCCGCTTAGCTAGTTGAGTACCAAAACTAAACAACCAGATTGGTCTGGTAACTTACCTTATTATTTCAGTGTAAACAGTTTGACCCTGATTTTACAGACTGTTTTTTTCTTTTTCTCAGACTGTCAAAGTGTTACGGGAAAAGACTTTGCCCATTCAAAAAATATCTTGATCTCAGTCCTTTCAAAAGTCTAATAAGACTTGGACAGAGTTGGACTTATAATCGATCTGGTTAACTAGCAATGAATGGACAGACTGAAAAGGAAAACACTTTGCTCATTTTACCCGCGTTCCTTGGCGGGGTCATGGTTGCTGACTGGTGCAATTCAGTTTAAACATAGACTTATAATATTTAAACATACTGTATAATACTTATTCAGGATAGATCATGAGGCAACTGCACACCAGCACCGCAGTCATACAAGGGGGGCAGACTAACCCAGTCATCATTAGGCATTTTCAATTTTGGGCTTTCTTTATGGAACCCATTTCTCTCTTATCAATTCACAAATAAATACAGACACTTAACAACAAGACATTATATTCATGCATAGCAATGCAAATTTAAAGTTACCTTTTCTCCAAAAATAATTTTGTAGCATGTTGATAGGTATCTGCTTGGTTATTTATAATAATGATATCCCCACTAGAAATTCAGGGAATTTTATTAAGCAATATCTTAGTCAAATAAATCTGTTTTCCACAATCTTCTCTCTATAACAGCACCAACTTTATTTTATTAATTTATACAGAGCATTTTGTTTCTAAAATCTGTGACTAGATTTAACAGGAATTTAAAAGGGGTATGACTCATTGAATGTTCACAAAATATTTATTTGATGGTAGAAAACATTTATCCTAAGTCAAGTCCATTCCCATCTGACTTGGGTACCATCAAATATGTACCCCTTTGGTAACAAGTATTTAAATGTTTTGAATGGATTTGTTTGTTTCATGGATTGTATGTCTCACTGGCACTGTAAAGGTCATTTGGTGACTTTCCAGCTTCACTGGTGAAGGAAGACCTCAAGAGCCCCGGCTTTGTGAATTATTTTAGGCACAAGCCGGGAACCTGAGTAGAACCACAAACATTCCATCAGCTGACTTTTAAATGGAGCATAATTATGTACTTGAAATGGCAAATTTTCTTCAGAAGATTTTTGAAATTTATGCCTTTTTATTGGTGCCAGCCCATACGGAGAATTGGAGACATATAAATTTACATTCTGCATCTTCGATAGAATACTGCTGCATTAAATAGTAAAGTGCAAGCAGTTTCAATTTGCCTTTTTGATGCCACTGAAGGTATCTCCATGTTGAAATTTAAATTAAAACACCAGGCCTGGCTCTTTACTGGTGGTGGCAAAGGCAACTTACAGTTCTAGCAGTGGCCTGGCTTTATCCAAGTCAAAAGTATTGAATTATTCATGTAAGCACAACATATAAACTGTACAGAGCGGCATTGCTGAAATACGGTACTGTTGATACATCAATATTATACGGACATTAGTTTGAGGACTCTGTGGTTAAGAACTCTCAAGCATTTTTTTGAGGATCAGCAATATGACAAAATGATGATCGAGCCTACAACTTTCTGTATATTATAATGCAAATATGAGTTGCCAACTTGCCACTTAAATAGACCAAGTGGTCATTTTTTTCTTCTTTTTTTCTTTCTTTCATTGTACAGAGCCATGGCCCTATTTTCTTTACTTCCATGATTTTTCTTTGTTTACTGTCAGATGGCCCCGTCCCCCTAATTTAGTTAAAACATTGAAGTTGACACTACAAAAATTTGCATGTGTCAAAATAGGAAACAAATTGGTGATTTTTATCTTATCCCAATGTATATTTGGAATGATCCTTAAAACGGCAGCCAGGGGAAATAATAATTGCTGTGTGTAAAGCATCTATATAACAACAAAACATTTCAGTCACTAACATTTTATTTCCTGCTATTATCACAGCAGAGCCAGAAAAGTTTGTATCTTTTAAAAAAAAACATGAGAATATTTTATTATAAAACCAGTCAAAAACCCCATACAATTACAATCATATTATCATATTTTTGGTATTATTTCACAATATGTTTCCTAAAACAGGTCACCACTCTTATCAAGAAAATAAAATAAAAAGGTTCTAAATATAAGTACACCCTCTTTGTGAAATTACAATTTACTTTGTAATGTTCTGTAAAATGATAATGGCATCTTTAAATTTTATGAAGAAATTTAAACATGTCTAGGAAAGAAAATACACTGTTATAATGTATTTTAAACAAATAATCTCAGAGAATATCTTTTTCGAAATAACGTTCGTTGCAGTAAATACCACTTTTTTGGAAGGGAGAGTATGCTAGGTAGGGGTTGTGAACCTATCCACTTTCTTTTATGATTACTTAAATTAGCTACAGAATATGGCAATCCTCTAGGCATTACAATCCCTGATAACATAATTTCTTATAGAAGCCCAGACAAGGGAAGCGAATTAAATGCAACATTTAAAATGATAATGCAAAGTAATGCTGTTACAATCAGAACTTTTCGACTCTTATTACACACGCATACACTTTGATACAGTAAAAATAATCACTTCATGCATACACTCAATGTTCAATTAATGGCATGAAAAATATCAACATCTACTTTCTCAATGATAATTTTTGTATTTGGAATTCTCTTAAAAAACTCTGCTATTTCTTAACTTACTAAACATAAATGTTTGACACTTATTTTAAAGACTGGTGGGAAACTGTAACATAGAACAATCAGAGTTATTCAGACCAGTAATCTAAACTGTTTAATTTGAAAATGAAGTTTGTATGTCATGGTACTATGTTCACTTGAAGCCTGATTGTAACACTTTGTAGAACCCCATGAATTTTAGAAACTAAACATAAATTTTTTATAGTGAATGATTTTTTTTCAACTTCATCACATGATTTTATTAATTCTGACAATCTAAACATAGAAAAACAACACATTGCGTACATTATTAAAACACTCAATGAAACTGGATATGAAAATTGAAATAATATAAAAAGAGGAAAAAATGATATTGTACACAAAAACATATAGTCTTTTATCACTAAAGTGTTTCACAGTGCTACCATTCATAGTGTGTGGTTAACACTTTAAATCAGCATCGAGCGTACACTCTACAAAGATTTGAAGGTAACATGTGAAACATCGGTGAACACTGCTCGTATTTAGCTGCTTAAACAGTCATTCTAAAACATCTCTGTATGACAAAGTCTCTCATTCTAAATCTGGCAAATCTGAAAATACATGAACACATCGTCATATAATTGCACTATGTCAGCTTTTAATCTTTTTTGAATTATGTTTTTACTTTTGTATGACAAGTAATTTTATGCTATAGCTTGTATTTTTGGAGCATAATGTTGCTAATGCATGGACATTTTTTAACATACACATTTTGTTACTTTAATAGTGAAAGTGAAGTTTGAGCCCTGTTTTAAAATCAAACACCTTTATATGACAAAGTATAATACTGCCGAGATATATTATATACTGTATACAGGGCTCACGCTGTTGGTCGCCATAGTCGCCATTTGCAATTATTTTATAACATTGGCGGTTATTTTTGCATTTTGGCAACAAAATCTGGCGTTTATTTTTTACTTCCAACAGTGTTTATATAAGGTGTAACTAGAAATGTGTCCATAGGACACGGGTGCCCCCATAGCGACACTGTTCTGTCAATCTTTTTACTAAGTCAAGGGAAATAACTCTACAAATACTGGATATAAATCCACAAAGCGAAACCCCAGGTGCAAATCTAAAATATGCTGAGCAAACCTGCCCATAAGGGTTTGATGACTATGTCAAATCTTTTTTTGAGAAACTTGCGACACAAGTTGAAAATTGCAAAAATTTTCTAAGTGAAGGGCAATAACTCTAAAAATACTAAATAAATCCAGACGAAAATACCTGGTGCACAACTGCACATGCTGATCAATATTCCTGTAAAGTTACATGACTCTAGGTTCAAATACTTTTTGAGTTATGTGCGACACATGTTGAAAATTGCCAAATTTTACTAAGTCAAGGGCAATAACTCTGAAAATACTAAAAATATCCAGACCAAAATACCCAGGTGCACAACTACACATGCTGATCAACATTCCTGTAAAGTTTCATGACTCTAGGTCAAATACTTTTTTGAGTTATGTGTGACACAAGTTGAAAATTGCAAAATTTTACTAAGTCAAGGGCAATAACTCTAAAAACAATAAAAATATGCACACAAAAATACCCAGGTGCACAACTACACATGCTGATCAACATTCTGTAAAGTTTCATGACTGTTTTGGTCAAAAAACTTTTTTTAGTTATGTGCGGGGGAAAAAAGTTTTTAAAAAAGGGCCCAAAATTTTTTTAATCAAGGGGGAATAACTCTTGGGAAAAAAACTAAAAATATCCAGACCAAAATACCCAGGTGCACAACTTAAAACATGCTTGATTTAACATTCCCGTTTTAAAATTTCATGACCCCTAGGGGTTAATAAAAATTTTTGAGTTTTAGTGAGACCCCAAAAAATGACGGGGGCCGGGACGGAAGAAAAAAAAAAAAAGGGGAACGGGAAAAAAAGGACAAAGGGGAAATTCTTAAAAAATGCCCCCCAAAAATTTAAAGTTGGGGGCCCAAAAAAAAATCGATTAAAAAAATGCAGTAGAAAAACCCAATTTTAAACAAGCGGGGTTGGGTTTTTTTTTGAGTTGGGCAACTTTTATCGGTCAACGCGTTGCTTATTATTGCCCGAGGTGATAAAAATACATGCGAGATGTAAAATTGTATAAGTACTTTAAAGATATTGTCCAGCATTATAAAAGCCATCAAATATCCGTCAATTAGCCACGAAAATTGTCTTAAAATTGATGAACTGGATATTGACCAACCCAAAATTTACCGTAGATCTAAATTGCAGTAGGCTAGCGGCAAGTTTTGATTTTTTTTTGTTTTAATCTGCTTGACAAAATCGCCAGTGGAAAACAATGATAAAATATTTAAAAAGTATTTACTACCAAACAACTATTTGCACAACAACCAAAATTGTGAACATTTCTTCAGAAAACAGAAAAAACCTGTTTGTCACATATTTTCGCGACACCGATAATTTTGATATTTATTTAGAGGTGAAAATAAACTATGTTCTGTTTAAAAATCTTTACTACTATTAAGGCTCCCACGTTTACAATTTTTGTAAACGTTTACACGATTGTTAAGAACTAAAACAATACCGTTTAAATGGTGGTACTTCTATGTACTAAACTACACCATGTATTCAAGCCCCCAATGATGACTTACTTTATATTTTTAATACATGTACAAATAAATAATGTTCAGGGCTTATCACCATTGAGTCGACACACATTTTCTGCATTGTATCCCCATTTCGCTCTTTTGAGCAACAAAGGTAAATAAACTTTACCAAAAATGTATTATATCACGAGCGATTATTGCACTGTGATGCTGTCTAGAGGTTTGTAAGCACCCATTTTCTGTTTTTTACTTTGGAATAAATCAATTAGAATTAATAGAATTCATGATTACAGGCAATGATTAATATTTTTTGTAAGACAATATGGTCATTTCGATTAAACGGTAAAACATTTCTTAAACGTTTATGAATGAAAATCGAAACGGATCCGTTTAAATCTGTAACCGTGGGGGCCTTAACTACTATGGCAGAAAATTTTTATTACATTGGTGATGATGACATTTTCAGTAAGTTATTCAGAAAAAATGTTGCATTCTGGGAATGAGTTTGCAAGTGTTATTTCTATAGGTTAATATGACCTAGATCTACTCGTTCTGTGTGAAATGTGGAAATTGACAGAGGTTATAGCTGACAAAATTTGATTAGAACAAACAAAAGAAATTGTCTGATAACAGCATTATGTAAATTTAATATTATTGTTATACAGTTATTATACTTTATAACATTTGTATTCTGTTCTATAATAACAATTAAAGTTGTGGTTCTATGTAAAAAGGTAGTTATCAATATGCACAAATGTATCAGTTTATTTGAGAATCCTTCTAAAACTGAAAAAGTTTTATGTGTAATGTTTATTTAATCAACTACTTATGTTGATAATCGCTTAATCGTAAATAGTCTGTTGAACTTTTGGCTATAATTTTTTAAGTTAAAAATATTGGCTATTATTTTATTTGAGCCAGTGTGAGCCCTGTGTATATATATATATATATATATATATATACACATACATTGTATGTACAGTTTACTTCCAGTTTTATAATGAAACATAATCTATGGTTGAATAACTACAGTATTAGTTAATAACCTTTTCTATAAAGGCCTCTGTTAAATATAATCTCTCAATAGTCAATACAGTATCAGCATGAAGGTCAAACTATGCTTAAGTGCTTATAAATAAACAAGTAATTTCATTGCTGAAGATAATATCAAATTATATAAAATATAGCCTATATTTTGTAACTATAAATAGCCTATATTTTGTGACAATATTTAGTTCAAAAGATTTTACCTTCATCATCGCTATCTTCCTCCTCGTCATCAGGCTGAAAATAGATTTATATTATCATTTTAGTAGAGTTATTAAAATCAAAGATTTAGTTTAACACTAATATGTTTAAAATTTCACTTAAAAGGGTGTACAAAAAGTGGTGACTACACCAGAAAACAATTCTTGTTGATGGTATATACCTTTAGACACAAGTAATTTGTTTTGCCGTCTTCTAAAGTAAACAAGGGCAAATCATGATCACTTGTTGCCTCATGATAGCCTATTACATGTTGCAGCTACTGTGTAGCAGGAGACACAAAAATCATTAAAAGGGCAAAACACATTTTTTATTCAAAGGCCATAACTGCCAAGAATCTTTCAACCTGAAAACCTGTGTAATATGTGCAAGTACTTGAGCTACCAATCAAACATGTAAAGTTTCATTAAAACGTGCAGTCTGACTTAGCTATATACTCTTGGTAGCTAATGTTTGTATTTTGATACTGAAATCATATGACCTGTTCAAAACTCAAAGCAGGGCAAATCCGAAACATAAATTGCGCAGGTTATAGGATAACTAAGACAACAATTAAATCAGATTTGAAGACTATAATACATATAACAAACTCTTTACACCATCAGCTACATTGTCTCTATAAGTGAAAGAAGTGCTTAACTTTGACTTAAATATTTTACATGTTATTTTAGAAAAGGGGTTAATTAAATTTTTAAATACTCACCAGACCTGGTCCGCCAGGTCCACCCATACCACCCATGCCACCCATACCACCCATGCCTCCCATACCACCCATATTTTGCATCATCTGAAATAAGTAAAAGTTACTAATTAAGCATACATCATAAAGTCCAACCATGTCTCTGTAAAAGGAAATTCATAAGGTATACATATATTCAATCTTTAAACTATAATATCTCAAACTACACAATCTTCTATTTACCTCTTTGTTTAACACACTTGTTTTAATTTAAATCATGTTATAAAATTGAAATCATGTGTTAAAATATTAATTTGTATCGTTGCTATCAACTTTTAACCCTCATTGCCACTTTATACATGTCAGGCATAAATCTTAAGGGGCTGTAACCTCCCACTGACACCCTGGCCTGTAAATGAAAAGGCACATTAGAGTTAAAACTGACTTAAGAAAACTGTAGGCAACTAAATCCTTGTTCATTGGAACCTGGACACCTCTTAAAATTTCTGTCATTCATTCTTCCTGGCAAAGCACTGCATGCCTTGGGCAATTTGTCGTCATAATGTGTTAATACATTCAGGGTCATGCAGGCATTTCAGTAGATTTTTCTTGGACAGTGTAGAGGTGGATACAAGCCTCTACATAACACCGAGTAAATAAGTCTAAGAAAAGAGCCCCTTAGTAGATCTAATTTTCAATAACAAATAGCTCCCTTGAATTTCATGATGATGTTTTATCCGTGTAACTATATATATATTTAGCTACTGCCTTAATAACTTTTGAACTCTTTTAAGATACGAGAGCATTTCTATATCACCTCTCAAGTTTTTAAAGGTTTATATTACACATTATCAGAGCTTTTTCCCTTCTATAGCAGGAACCATTTATAGGTCTCTTGCCCTCTAGAAAATTCTTTTAAATCATACATTCCCTCGGAATTCAATTAACATCAAGTTTTTTTCTCTTACATTTTTGCAAAGATAACATGTTATTTTCCCCCATATTTAAGGAACCATGCCCATGAAAAAAGGTCCTGATTATGCAGCATCTTTCATATAATCATGAATTGAAAGTTCCGTAAAAAGGTTATTTTCTAGGAAATGTGTATTATAAAATGTGCACCCAAAAATGCACCACAAGCCATCATTTAGTATTCAAAGAAAGACTAGTAGCATCGTTGTAAAGAATAAGTTAGTATTTTGTAATAACAGCAGATGGGAGATTAAAATTATCTTGACCTGGATCCTAGGGCGATAATATAAGTATCTCATTCCTTAATCTAGTTATTGACTGGAAATCAATTTTCTATTTTTAGTAACAGTGAGCTTGACCCTTAAGGGGGCCCCAAAGCTATCTTAAGTGAGGTCTTCACAGAAGCTTAATTTGAAATGTAGGAGGAGTTGAGCACAGAAGAAACTGTTTACGCCCCCCGCCTGCCAACATACCTCAATCTAATAACCAGTTTTTTCCTTCAGAAAACCTTGTTAATAAGCTATAAATTATACAAATTAAGTAAGACCCATGTCAAGTATTTACCTCAGCTAGGTCCATGTTTTTATCCATATCATCATACAAATTAAGTAAGACCCATGTAAAGTATTTACCTCAGCTAGGTCCATGTTTTTATCCATATCATCATACAAATTAAGTAAGACCCATGTCAAGTATTTACCTCAGCTAGGTCCATGTTTTTATCCATATCATCATACAAATTAAGTAAGACCCATGTCAAGTATTTACCTCAGCTAGGTCCATGTTTTTATCCATATCATCATACAAATTAAGTAAGACCCATGTAAAGTATTTACCTCAGCTAGGTCCATGTTTTTATCCATATCATCATACAAATTAAGTAAGACCCATGTCAAGTATTTACCTCAGCTAGGTCCATGTTTTTATCCATATCATCATACAAATTAAGTAAGACCCATGTCAAGTATTTACCTCAGCTAGGTCCATGTTTTTATCCATATCATCATACAAATTAAGTAAGACCCATGTAAAGTATTTACCTCAGCTAGGTCCATGTTTTTATCCATATCATCATACAAATTAAGTAAGACCCATGTCAAGTATTAACCTCAGCTAGGTCCATGTTTTTATCCATATCATCATACAAATTAAGTAAGACCCATGTCAAGTATTTACCTCAGCTAGGTCCATGTTTTTATCCATATCATCATACAAATTAAGTAAGACCCATGTCAAGTATTTACCTCAGCTAGGTCCATGTTTTTATCCATATCATCATACAAATTAAGTAAGACCCATGTCAAGTATTTACCTCAGCTAGGTCCATGTTTTTATCCATATCATCATACAAATTAAGTAAGACCCATGTCAAGTATTTACCTCAGCTAGGTCCATGTTTTTATCCATATCATCATACAAATTAAGTAAGACCCATGTCAAGTATTTACCTCAGCTAGGTCCATGTTTTTATCCATATCATCATACAAATTAAGTAAGACCCATGTCAAGTATTTACCTCAGCTAGGTCCATGTTTTTATCCATATCATCATCTGACTCATCCTCATCTTTCCATTTGTTAAAATCTGTTTTTAACCAGAAAGCCTGAAATGTCATGGTAATCTAGATTTAATAACAGGACGTCTATATTTAAAACATTTAACCTGATGAGATGACAGTATTACTGGAATCAGATAAATTGAATTAAAAGTTTAATCCAGCACATGTGTTTGTACTACATTTATCTATCTCAACCTATTTGTATTCTCTGTCCAACATTACCTAAGACATTGATTCATTGCAAAGCATATTGACGATACATCAATATCAGATGACAAATATCGGCGATACACCAATATATATTGATATATACTCCTAATATCTTATATATAATTCACTTTCATACCTGTTTAAATGATTTTAGTAAAATATATGTTCTGTTCATACAAATATGTTGTGTCCTGTTTATAAAAGTCTTTTGCATAATTTTTTCCTCACCATTTTTGTCATCACTACTTTGAAATGTGTCAATTATGTAAAACCAGCTTAGTGTTAGACATGACCGCCTGCTTTTGTTTATGTTTTGGGTGAATTTTCATAATTCATCAGCATTAAAATAATTAATCAAAATTATTGATTTTTTCAAATATGTATCGATTATTGATTGATAGAAAAATATCAACAATACATCGATATCGTCTCCATCAATGACAGCTCTAATTTATATGGTATCAATTTTGTCCTTATATGCCCTGCTTATTTTTATAAATTTCCTCCAGCACTATTTTGTTTATACGAGTAATATATCAACTTTGGTGTATAGTTTTGAGGTATATTTCTGTCCTACTTTACCCTGCTTATATTCATTTGTATGATATGTAATTATTTGGTACCTTATATATTTGTACTTCTTAACTATGCTTATGATAATTCTTGTCCTGCATTGCCCTGTTCATTTTCATGTTGTATTTATTATTCACAACAATGCTAAAATGTATTTACATATTGTTACTATTGACTAATTTTACTAATTTAATTAAACAGAGATTTTCTCAGATTATTTCTGGCAACTTGACTTCTTGATTTTCTTTAGTTATACAAATCCTAGAACATAATGTTACATTCAAGAATTTACCTTTTTAATTCCTTTTAATAACCTAGGCCAGTATGGACCAGGTTCTTTCTTCTTTATCACAAAACCTATATTTCTTGCCTGAACCCCATATTTTGATTCCTGTAAAATACAATATCAAAATTTCACAAAATTACTTTAAGTTGTCACACAATATTCTGTCAGGATATATCACTGATCACTCTCATACATGAGATAATATGTAAGTGGCCTAGAAGCTCAATCTGTACCACTGTGTAACAGTATTCTGAGAATCTTGATTTTAGAGTTACTGTCAGGCTGCATGATATACCTATCACCTAGAGTTACTGTCAAGCTGCATGATATACCTATCACCTAGAGTTACTGTCAGGCTGCATGATATACCTATCACCTAGAGTTACTGTCAGGCTGCATGATATACCTATCACCTAGAGTTACTGTCAGGCTGCATGATATACCTATCACCTAGAGTTACTGTCAGGCTGCATGATATACCTATCACCTAGAGTTACTGTCAGGCTGCATGATATACCTATCACCTAGAGTTACTGTCAGGCTGCATGATATACCTATCTCCTAGAGTTACTGTCAGGCTGCATGATATACCTATCACCTAGAGTAACTGTCAGGCTGCATGATATACCTATCACCTAGAGTTACTGTCAGGCTGCATGATATACCTATCACCTAGAGTTACTGTCAGGCTGCATGATATACCTATCTCCTAGAGTTACTGTCAGGCTACATGATATACCTATCTCCTAGAGTTACTGTCAGGCTGCATGATATACCCTATCACCTAGAGTTACTGTCAGGCTGCATGATGTACCTATCACCTAGACTTACTGTCAAGCTGCATGATATACCTATCACCTAGAGTTACTGTCAAGCTGCATGATATACCTATCTCCTAGAGTTACTGTCAGGCTGCATGATATACCTATCTCCTAGAGTTACTGTCAGGCTGCATGATATACCTATCTCCTAGAGTTACTGTCAGGCTGCATGATATACCTATCTCCTAGAGTTACTGTCAGGCTGCATGATATACCTATCTCCTAGAGTTACTGTCAGGCTGCATGATATACCTATCACCTAGAGTTACTGTCAGGCTGCATGATATACCTATCTCCTAGAGTTACTGTCAGGCTGCATGATATACCTATCTCCTAGAGTTACTGTCAGGCTGCATGATATACCTATCACCTAGAGTTACTGTCAGGCTGCATGATATACCTATCACCTAGAGTTACTGTCAGGCTGCATGATGTACATATCACCTAGAGTTACTGTCAAGCTGTATGATATACCTATCACCTAGAGTTACTGTCAGGCTGCATGATATACCTATCACCTAGAGTTACTGTCAGGCTGCATGATATACCTATCACCTAGAGTTACTGTCAGGCTGCATGATATACCTATCACCTAGAGTTACTGTCAAGCTGCATGATATACCTATCACCTAGAGTTACTGTCAGGCTGCATGATGTACCTATCACCTAGAGTTACTGTCAAGCTGCATGATATACCTATCTCCTAGAGTTACTGTCAGGCTGCATGATATACCTATCTCCTAGAGTTACTGTCAGGCTGCATGATATACCTATCACCTAGAGTTACTGTCAGGCTGCATGATATACCTATCACCTAGAGTTACTGTCAGGCTGCATGATATACCTATCACCTAGAGTTACTGTCAAGCTGCATGATATTCCTATCACCTAGAGTTACTGTCAAGCTGCATGATATACCTATCACCTAGAGTTACTGTCAGGCTGCATGATATACCTATCACCTAGAGTTACTGTCAGGCTGCATGATATACCTATCACCTAGAGTTACTGTCAGGCTGCATGATATACCTATCACCTAGAGTTACTGTCAGGCTGCATGATATACCCAGACTTCCCGAAAGTTGAAAAAAACTGTCAGACATTCGGTCTGACAAACCATGAAAATCTGTCGGACCGAAACTAAATCTGTCGGACCAAATAAAATTGATCAAAATCAAAGAATAACGTGTGTTTGTATTTCTAAGACACTTTTTGTTTTTAATTTTTTCGCCGTAAAAATCGGCACATTCCTTACAGCGCATTTTCATCTCCTCCCTATCATACACCAACAATTCATTGTCTTGCTTCTAATTTTTATTAAATTTTATCTCAGGTCTATTCTTTTTATCCTTTTACTGCAGTTCTGCGCGTTCCTCTGACATAGATTTTTTATTTTTCCAAGGTTTGGCACCTTTAGCGACGCCATTTTGTATACATGCGGCTTGGATAAAAGTCGGACAGTCGGACCGATCCGGAATAAAAACTCGTCGGACCTGATCAAAATTTATCGGACATGTCCGTCGGACCGACGTATTTCGGGAAGTCTGTATTACCTATCACCTAGAGTTACTGTCAGGCTGCATGATATACCTATCACCTAGAGTTACTGTCAGGCTGCATGATATACCTATCACCTAGAGTTACTGTCAGGCTGCATGATATACCTATCATCTAGAGTTACTGTCAGGCTGCATGATGTACCTATCACCTAGAGTTACTGTCAGGCTGCATGATATACCTATCACCTAGAGTTACTGTCAAGCTGCATGATATACCTATCACCTAGAGTTACTGTCAGGCTGCATGATATACCTATCACCTAGAGTTACTGTCAAGCTGCATGATATACCTATCACCTAGAGTTACTGTCAAGCTGCATGATATACCTATCACCTAGAGTTACTGTCAGGCTGCATGATATACCTATCTCCTAGAGTTACTGTCAGGCTGCATGATATACCTATCACCTAGAGTTACTGTCAGGCTGCATGATATACCTATCACCTAGAGTTACTGTCAGGCTGCATGATATACCTATCACCTAGAGTTACTGTCAGGCTGCATGATATACCTATCACCTAGAGTTACTGTCAGGCTGCATGATATACCTATCACCTAGAGTTACTGTCAGGCTGCATGATATACCTATCACCTAGAGTTACTGTCAGGCTGCATGATGTACCTATCACCTAGAGTTACTGTCAGGCTGCATGATATACCTATCACCTAGAGTTACTGTCAGGCTGCATGATATACCTATCACCTAGAGTTACTGTCAGGCTGCATGATATACCTATCACCTAGAGTTACTGTCAGGCTGCATGATATACCTATCTCCTAGAGTTACTGTCAGGCTGCATGATATACCTATCACCTAGAGTTACTGTCAGGCTGCATGATATACCTATCACCTAGAGTTACTGTCAGGCTGCATGATATACCTATCACCGAGAGTTACTGTCAAGCTGCATGATATACCTATCACCTAGAGTTACTGTCAAGCTGCATGATATACCTATCACCTAGAGTTACTGTCAGGCTGCATGGTATACCTATCACCTAGAGTTACTGTCAAGCTGCATGATATACCTATCACCTAGAGTTACTGTCAGGCTGCATGGTATACCTATCACCGAGAGTTACTGTCAAGCTGCATGATATACCTATCACCTAGAGTTACTGTCAAGCTGCATGATATACCTATCACCTAGAGTTACTGTCAGCTGCATGATATACCTATCACCTAGAGTTACTGTCAAGCTGCATGATTATACCTATCACCTAGAGTTACTGTCAAGCTGCATGATATACCTATCACCTAGAGTTACTGTCAGGCTGCATGATATACCTATCACCTAGAGTTTACTGTCAGGCTGCATGATATACCTATCACCTAGAGTTACTGTCAGGCTGCATGATATACCTATCTCCTAGAGTTACTGTCAGGCTGCATGATATACCTATCACCGAGAGTTACTGTCAAGCTGCATGATATACCTATCACCTAGAGTTACTGTCAGGCTGCATGATATACCTATCACCTAGAGTTACTGTCAGGCTGCATGATATACCTATCACCTAGAGTTACTGTCAGGCTGCATGATATACCTATCACCTAGAGTTACTGTCAGGCTGCATGATATACCTATCACCTAGAGTTACTGTCAGGCTTGCATGATATACCTATCACCTAGAGTTACTGTCAGGCTGCATGATATACCTATCACCTAGAGTTACTGTCAGGCTGCATGATATACCTATCACCTAAAGTTACTGTCAGGCTGCATGATGTACCTATCACCTAGAGTTACTGTCAGGCTGCATGATATACCTATCACCTAGAGTTACTGTCAGGCTGCATGATATACCTATCACCTAGAGTTACTGTCAGGCTGCATGATATACCTATCACCTAGAGTTACTGTCAGGCTGCATGATATACCTATCACCTAGAGTTACTGTCAGGCTGCATGATATACCTATCACCTAGAGTTACTGTCAGGCTGCATGATATACCTATCACCGAGAGTTACTGTCAAGCTGCATGATAATACCTATCACCTAGAGTTACTGTCAAGCTGCATGATATACCTATCACCTAGAGTTACTGTCAGGCTGCATGGTATACCTATCACCTAGAGTTACTGTCAAGCTGCATGATATACCTATCACCTAGAGTTACTGTCAGGCTGCATGGTATACCTATCACCGAGAGTTACTGTCAAGCTGCATGATATACCTATCACCTAGAGTTACTGTCAAGCTTGCATGATATACCTATCACCTAGAGTTACTGTCAGGCTGCATGATATACCTATCACCTAGAGTTACTGTCAAGCTGCATGATATACCTATCACCTAGAGTTACTGTCAAGCTGCATGATATACCTATCACCTAGAGTTACTGTCAGGCTGCATGATATACCTATCACCTAGAGTACTGTCAGGCTGCATGATATACCTATCACCTAGAGTTACTGTCAAGCTGCATGATATACCTATCACCTAGAGTTACTGTCAGGCTGCATGATATACCTATCACCTAGAGTTACTGTCAGGCTGCATGATATACCTATCACCTAGAGTTACTGTCAGGCTGAATGATATACCTATCACCTAGAGTTACTGTCAGGCTGCATGATATACCTATCACCTAGAGTTACTGTCAGGCTGAATGATATACCTATCACCTAGAGTTACTGTCAGGCTGCATGATATACCTATCTCCTAGAGTTACTGTCAGGCTGCATGAAATACCTATCACCTAGAGTTACTGTCAGGCTGCATGATATACCTATCACCTAGAGTTACTGTCAGGCTGCATGATATACCTATCACCTAGAGTTACTGTCAGGCTGCATGATATACCTATCACCTAGAGTTACTGTCAGGCTGCATGATATACCTATCTCCTAGAGTTACTGTCAGGCTGCATGATATACCTATCACCTAGAGTTACTGTCAGGCTGCATGATATACCTATCTCCTGATGATTTAGAAATTCACAGACAAAATGCTATATAACATAGAAATATGTCACCGTATAGAACTGACCACAAAAAAAACGTCTGAGAAAATTTGTCAGCAGCAAGAAAGCTGCCGGTCACTAGGGTTCTTGACCATGGGTTTTTGATTTAAGTTACAGTAAAACTGCACATTTTTCTCACCCTATAAAGATGACCAGGTAACCAGTTGCTACAGCAGATATCATGTGCCAGAAAGTGAAAGTGAATCAACTTCTTACAGATGATCTATCATGTTAAAAAACATTATTTTTTTGTTGGTTTTATATCACAACTAAACTGTCGTGGTGATATGGTGGCAGTGGAGGAAACTACTATAGTAACAAGCAATTATCATAGTATTGCAAGCAATCCTAAGTCCCCTACCAGTAAGAACCCCAGCAACATTCTGAAGGGCCATTGGCCATTCACTAATGTTTCAATTTTTCTCTATTTTAAGTTAATTTGTTGGAAAAGTTCTTTAAAAGTGATCACAGGAAACAGTTTTTATTAACAGACAGCCAGACGGACTGAGGGACACTCTAAAGTTAATATTTGAAACATCCCTGTTACCAAAATATAACATTTTTAAAAGCAAAATTCTTAAAGAGGAGATAACTCTTGAAATAAAGATGCAATTTCATAAACATTCTCAGCTCTTTTTGACTAATCACAAATATTCTTATATTTGCCATGTTTTAAGCCTATTTGTTGCTATGGCAACAAATTTTTCAAAATAGGAAGAAAAGATAAAGACATGCATAATCTCCAGACTGCCATCTACCCATATGTCAAGTTTCATAAAAATATTTCCAGTACTTTTTGAGTTATCACTGGATTCAGTTTATGTGTAAAATTTGCCATATTTTCAGTCTATTTGTTGCCATAGCAACCAGAATTTTCAACATAGGAAGAAAATAATAAGAAGTGCATAATCTCCAGACTGCCATCTTTTTATATTTCAAGTTTCATTAAAATTTTTCCAGTACTTTTTGCGTTATCACTGGATCCAGTTTATGTGTAAAATTTGCCATATTTTCAGTCTATTTTGTTGCCATAGCAACCAAAATTTTCGACATAGGAAAAAAAACGAAAAAAACGTGCTAATCTCCATACTGCCATCTATATATATAATAAAGTTTCATAAAAATATTTTCAGTACTTTTTGCGTTATCACGGGATCCAGTTTTGTGGACGTGCGGACTGACAGACCGATGTACTCACAAAATTGTACTTATAGTGACTTTTCCTTTGATCTTTTTGGCCATTTTTAGTCACACAAGGCTTAAAAAAGACACACAAGTAAAAACAGAATGAATAGGATCAAAGAGAATTTACTGTTACCCATTGTTCTCTAAGTCACACAAGTACCTCTGGGTTTGTACGGACAGACGGACGAAGAGTAAACCTAAATTCCCTCCGGTAAACCGGTAGGGGACTAAAAAGAAATATTATTTTCTTATTACTGATAATTGTTACACCCACAGTCTCTTTTTATCTGTGAAATTAACAATTTTTTAAGTACAGAGAATATATATATTTAGACTCTACACACTATAAGGACTATAGGTGCACACTTATCAATACATTGTTTCATTAAAAAAAACTGGCAGTTTTTTCTAGGAAAGAACCAAATAACCTGGACTTGTAATAGGGAATGCAGCTTTCCAGGCATAGTTTGTGTATTCTCTTATTCCAATTAGACATGTTAAGTATGAATTTCATAGATTTTAATAAATTCTAACTATAAAAGTATTTTACTCATAGATGTACATATTATATTTAACTATTAGCCTGCTGGCAGCAACAAACTTTACAAATGTTACAAGTATAGCCCAAGATCTGGAGGAACATCTGCTCAGCCTAGCCATGGTCTGCACTGATCTACTTGTATAAGAATCTTTACAATTTTCCATAAAAATGATTTAATGGTTTGTCTACTCTAAACAGAAAGATCGGAAAGTCTATTTCATTTATTTAGCATGGGTAAGAATTCATGTACAACTACAATAATAGGTACCTTTAATATGATCATTTTTTCTATTTATGTAATATCTTTTATGTCTATAAAGCATTTATAATAATTCTACTTTTACCTGTGGATTTACTTCTTTTTCAAATTCTAGTGATATTTCATATAAATCTTTATTTGTTCCACCTTTACCACTGAAAAAAAACAACATACACAATTATATGTAATAACTAATAAATCAGTGAACAAAGGGTTTTTTTGGAAGCTTTTATAATGATTGTATGCCCAGTTTAGTGCAATAACTAGAAAATTGCAAATAGTTATTAAAGCTGCACACCTCCAGATAAGCAAACATATTTGGATAAAATCAAACCTGAGAAAAATGTACTAAGATTTTAGATAAAGTATAAAGATTCAAAATTCAAGTAATAATTTACATGTAATGTGCAATTAATGACTGATTTTTCAGTATTTTATTTTTATAACTATATTTCTACTGTGTTACTAACGCAGTAAGGGCTATTTTTGCATATTTTGACCTCTTTATCATGGTACTTTACATGTGAGTGCCTCTGATAATGTGTAAACTGCATTCTTTTGGTAACTTCACAATATTATAATGTTATACATTTTCAAATTTTCATGAAAACCAGCATGAATCTGGAGGCGTGCTGCTTTAAAACTGTTGGTAAAACACTACTATCTTCCTCAAATAAATTGCATATAATATAAGTGTGGAAAGTTAAATATCACAAACACAATTATAACACATACCTGAATGTAAGTTTTTGTTCTGTTAAATTAATGGTAGGATTTTGGCAATCTTCTACACATATTGTGAGAAATACGACATCATTCCTCTGTGCCCACATCACTGTAGGAACTTTTGCTCCACTGAAAAAACAAAGTAATGTAAAAGTTTTAATGTTCAAATAAGATGAGAATCATTCTGGCTATAGTCGGAGGCCATACGGTAATGATTTGGTTCCCATATTCAAAGCGTGGTGCATTTGAATACCACAAAGCTGGAATTTATCGAAAGATTTTGTAAATGGAGTAAAATGCAGGCCTCGACAGTCACTCACCCGCTCGCATTTGCGTGTAGAAGTTTGGGTCGGGTGAGTAAAAAATTGATCAAACTGGATCCAAATGAGGTACTTTCTCTAAATATTTGTACATGAAGTTATTCTGTAAAAATTCAAACAGCAGATGCCATTTCAATCATAATACTGTCAACCAAAAACTAGAAACTTAACCTTATGACGAAGTATAAAACTTTACCAGATGAGTATGATGAATTGATTCTGTAACGACAGCAGCATTCGATAATGTTTTATATATACGCATTTAGTTATATTTTATACTTAGCCATGAGGTCAAATTCGAATGGAATAAGTATTCAGGCTATATAGAAGATATGAAAAAGAATAAAAGTATTCAGTGATTTTTCTGACTTAATTGGAAAGAGGCCTTAGCCTTTTGATTTTGGGAAAATTATCGCTAAAATTGCTGATTTGGGAATTAAAAAAGCTGGAATAAGTTCAGATTTTTGGGAAAACTGCATGATTTTAAAGAAAATTTCAATTGGGAAGAGGCCTTTTTTCGGAGTCTGTTATATAAGTAGGAAAATCACTGGTATTATAAACATTATTTGGGCCCATAAACTTTTCAAAAGGGGGTCATTTGAGAAAAAAGGGGCCCACACTTAAAAGAACATCAAATTCAAATAAGGTTGTATCTTTTAAGTTACTTGTTCACGTACCATATATAGACCAAAAACGGTTGCAAAATTCCAAAACAATCAACTCACTAAAAAAATGACATTATTTTGACCTTTTTTGAGAATTCTGTTAGCGTTGATACAGGCTCAATTAAGAACTGATTGGTAAAGAAACGATGACAAATTGTTCAAAGAAACATATGAATCTTATTTTAATGTTACCAGGGATATTTGATAATAATGTTCAGTTTTTTAATCAGCGCCCGATATATAAAAGAAAAAATCATATTTCCCAATTAGCTTTGTTGATGAATACTATAAACTTACAATAGTCGCTAAAAACATTTACCCTTCTCAATAAATTATATCCAAGCCAAAAACAAAGTGTCAACAGGTGCTAAGACAATGTATATTGACATACCGATACCTTTGATCTTTTGTCAGGGCAGCAGTTCTTACGTCATGCTTAAGATGTCTGTATTGATTAATGATATGTACAATGTTTTAGCGCCGACCAGCCAAAGACCATCAGGCCAAAGACCAATCAAAGTTAATTTACTCAATTGTCAGACACTCCCTAGCCAATCGTGTTTGATTAGCTCCATCTTTAAGACTTTTTTAATTGGATGAAGGCATGTTTGTAATAATTTATGCACACTTCTCTATAATTAACTCGCACTTTTCACAAATATATAGTTTTTTTCCTCTGAAATATGACATATTTATTTGTTTTAATCGTGAAAAAACGACAACTACACGCACGTATTGGATTATCTGTGACAATTTGTTTTGTTTATAAAAACTGTGACTCAAAAGTAAATAATAGTTACGGTACGAAGAACAAGTCTACATAGTATTTACAGACCCCGGCCGAGAGAGCGTAGCGATCAAGGTTTTAAAAGGGTTACCGAGTGCGGTATCTATCTTACCAACATGCTCTTGTTTTTCTATACAAACTTCAGTTTTAAATTCAGTATTTATTAATATTGTTCACAAGAAACTTTTTTTATGTACTTAATCAGGTTTAAGAAAGTATTCTAATGTCATTTAGGGCATTTTCTATTTCCCATCCGGCCCACGGTTGAATTTGTTTTGCGCCAGCGGTCTTTTCAGGGGGTCAATGGCGCAATGACGCGCTCTAGATTGAACACTGCAATATGTAATTGAATTAAGGCAATTATACCGACATAGACCTGTATACAGTAAATTTGAGTTTTGTGTTTGATTCTTACAAATTTTGTCCTTCAAAATGCAGGGCGATTGCACTTTATGTAAGGCAAGTAAATTTGCAGGCAAGTGGCCAAGATAAATTAATTGAGGCCTGATATCCCAAGTGCCTGTCTGAGAGAGTATGCGACATGTTTGCAGTGATTTTCCTACATAAATAAATCCGATAAAAGGCCTCATTTTTTTTTAAATCATGCTGTCTTCCCAAAATAAGAACTTAAACCTGCTTTTTTACTGCCCAATTTAGCAATTTTAGTGATAATTTTTCCAAAAATCAAGTGGCTAAGGCCTCTTCCCAATTAAGTGAGAAAAATCATTGTTTGGATAGATTTGATTGCATGCCTAAAATTAACTTTCTCGCTGAGATTTGAATCACAAAGAAGGCAAAACAAATATCGTGGCAATCAGATATACACTTAAAAAAACCCTCAAACTTGTATAATTTATCTGAACTTTATTCAGATTGAGCTGGCCCAAGCCAACATGTTGCACCTTTTTTCATATATTATTAGATTGACCCCTCAGTTTGCTTCAAACAACATGCCACATATCTATACTCCTGGTTCAAAAACAAAATGTTCTAAAAACTGAGATATTATAGATATATTTATTAGTGAGCTCAAAGAGCTGGCCCGAAGGCCCTGCTTGCAAAGCGAGCTTTATGCAACACGAGTACCTGCTAGATAGTGATGGTTTGGAAAACTTTCGTCCGAAGTACTGAACAGACACAACGCAACTTTTCTAATTACAAGATAACGATAAAAACCAAGGTATTCTGATTGAAAATGAAAGCGTAGAATGGTGTCCTGCTTACTAACATGGGAACCATAATTGGCCAAAAATTGGACAGGGAACCAGAATAAACGGAAGCAATGTATAAAATACCGAATGACAATTCAACGGAAAATGTAAAATAAAAATGAACGATTATTTAATACGGGGAAGTCAAAGTCCAGGCCAGCTAAGCGGGCCCGGGCTTTGGCTTGCCCAGCTATAGACTACATGTGTATATTTAAAAAAAATCAAATAAAAAACAATTAAAAAATTTATTGAATTCTATACCTATCAATGAAATTTTCAGTGTCAGTTCTAGTTAGGCGCCGCCATTTACAATGTAAGTCAATGATAAAAGGCGATGTACTCCGATAACGGAACAAATCTCAACTTTACGGATTAATAATAATCGTGGAGTGTTCCGAGTGAAAACGGAAGTGGGTACATATAATACCGAATGACACCTTTAAAACAGAAAAATGAAAGGATTTTTTAACCGACTTCCACGTTCATAGGCTTTGCCTAATTTCATATTACTATTTCACTGTTAATGTAAATAGAGCTCGCTTTGAGGCTTTGCCTTTTTCATATTATTATCACAGACACTAGGGGTTTGGAGCTAAAAACGCCTTTAAAATCCAAATAAAATGCATATTTGTCAATCCCAGGACATGTACTGATCATATATATCAAAAAAACTTAATATAAGCCGTTTTGAAAAAAAAATCATATTTCAACATCTATAATAATACACAAGATAAAAATGTTCGCCGGAAAAAATCCGCACCCCTACCGTCATAATCACCATGTATTTCAATCCATTTCCAATATTTTCACATAATCCTTTGGTCCATCGACACAGAAGATATAATTCTTCACGATGATGGTCAATTTTAAACTTCAACGGTAATATAAACAACGCAACAGCCGAAATAAACATCAATATTCTCGCCGTTTTTTTTCAACGACAAAAACTTTCGATAAATTCAATGGACCAGACGGCTATGAACGAAGCTATCCGATTATGTGGCCCCAGCTTTGCCGTGTGCAAAATGCGCAGCGCTTTTAAGTTTGGGAACCACATAATCGGATAGCTTCGTTCATAGCCGTCTGGTCCATTGAATTTATCGAAAGTTTTTGTCGTTGAAAAAAAACGGCGAGAATATTGATGTTTATTTCGGGTGCATAGAAAAACCGGAAAGCACCGGATAGCACCGAAATACCGGAAAGCACTCAAATTTCTCATAAAAACATATGAAAACGTTAATTAATCGGTTTGAAAGTGTTACCAATCGATTTATTAGATCAAAGTCTTACAGACAAGTCATTTTTATAAAAATATATTGATAATTATTACGAGTATTTAGGAAAATAGATATATCGTGTGCTTTCCGGTCCTGCTAAGATACATGTACATTACCGGATAGCAATATTGTTTATAAAAGTTATACATGGATACTTTATTTTATTGGTTTGAAAATGTTACCAATCGATATATTATATCAAAATTTTTCAGACAACATGTTTTTATAATTATAATATGATTATTATTACGTTTGATTAGGAAAATAAGATATATCGAGTGCTTTCCGGTCCTGCAAAGGTACATGTACTTTACCGAATAGCTATATAGTTTATCAAAGTAATACATGAAAACTTTATTTTATTGATTTGAAAGTGTTACCAATCGATTTATTATATCAAAATCTTCCAGACAACATGTTTTTATAATTATAATATGATTATTATAACGATTATTTAGGAAAATAGATATATCGAGTGCTTTCCGGTCCTGTGAAGTTACATATACATTACCGAATAGCAATTTAATTTCTCAAACAATCACATAAGATCTTTGTTTAATTGTATTGTAAATATTACCAATCGATTTATTAGGTATGATACAGTATTATTTCATGTTTTATTCTAAATTCTATGATTATTTAAAAGATTTATGAATGTTAAATAAATTGAGAATGCTTTCCGGTTTTGTTAAGTATATGTACCGAATAGCACTCGAATTTTCCATAAAAAGAAAACATATAACCTTCATTGTATTGAATTGAAAACGTTACCAAGAGATTTATTAGGAAAAAATCTCCCAGACATTATTTTTTTATAATTAATATTACGAATAAAAAAGTTTAAAATAGATTTTAAAATAGATATATCGAGTGCTTTCCGGTCCTGCACATTCCATTATTGCTTTCCGGTCCTGTGAAGTAATAGTTATACATCACCGAAAAGCACTGGTCCTCTTACCTCAGACATACCGATGGTATATAAATATTTAAAATGTATGTACCTTGTCTAATATATTAATATATTTATTTGTTGTAGGCTATATGGAAGACAAGAGGATTCAAAATAGCAGGAAGAGAAGAACAATAATTGTTTCAGTGATGTTTTTTTATTTTTGACATAAACAGTGCAATAAATAAAAATAAACGAAACTAATTACTAAGAACAAAATAAACAGATATAAAACAGAACTTAGCAAACATATATACATACATAATTGAAAAATAAGTATGATATTGAAATCAATCAAGGCACACTTCACGCCTCGTTTATTACACGGGCACACGCTGATTGAACGGTCACACGCTGATTTAATTATCACATTTAAAGAGGTGTAAATAATACACAATAACTGGATGTATCTAACTGATTGATTATTTGAGGTATTATATATGATATTGAAATGTCATTTAAACTTATAATTTAATTATATTTACAAACTGTGATGTTTTAAAAACAAAATCAACAAATAACTATCTCATTATTATATACATATAAAACTACAAAATATATATACATAGGCAGACCCCTAGATTTTTTTATGTAATATTAATATCAATGCATATTATATTATGGTAAATCCATTTCAGTTCCAGTATGGGCTAGACTATAGCCTGATGAGCATAAATGACATGTTAAGACACACTCGAACCTACTATTGCGGTCGTGATATAAATTTTATATAATATACTTTGATATTGATACTTAATATTTATGTTCAACATATTTTTTCCAACATAAATTTTCAGGCACTGTGAAGAAGAAAAAAATGTTTGCAACGTACGTATGAAAAATTTGCAATTCCAGACAACAAAAATGAATGTCATGTCAATGTCATCGGTCATAGATAAATATCAATACATAATATATTGTGTTGTAATATATAAGTTCGAGTATGGGCTAGACTATAGTATATTTTACAAGTTACTATTATTCAATTTACTTCACATTTTCTAGTGGTAAGACATTCACCAAGAGTATAATAAAACTTGTACTTACCTCGTAAGAGCACCTTCAGCATCATAATCCGATCCACGGAATGCACAGCACTTACATAGATATACTAAATTTCTATCCGACCAGGACTTAATGTCACTTAAATTTGTACAAGTACGATGCAACCAGTTCTTTCAATTTGAACACTGAATAGTATCATAAACATATTCTAATGTACACACAATGCACGGATACTCCGTCATGATTTTTGATATTAGTTTTATCGGTACATGTGTTTACGTGTGTGCCATAATTCCTACCACAAGTTCGTATAAAAGTACGTAACCCATGATAGGAATAAGATGGGATTGCTCCCATACTAAGTTAAAATGACGTGTATTTTAAGAAATGAACAGCATATTTAAATTACCTAAGGTTAAAAGGGCCGAGACGTTTATAAAAAGCACCGTCTCTTATAACAGGTAAACTATTATAATATTCTATGATTAAAATGAGAGAAAGAAAGTCTTATTAAAGCAATGTCAGGAACGCATTTTCCCAATTCAATGTGGCTAGTCATTAAAGGATCTAATTTGATCAGATACATACACAAAGGAGTGTCAGAATATTAAAATACAAGTTTGTTTTAGTATGGAAAAGATAGATTTTAATAAATTTCTAGTATATTTCACCCGAACACCTGCTTAATGGATTAATTTTGTTGAGGTTTATATACAATTTTATTCAGATAAGAGTAAATTTTAATAGCAACTTGATATAAAGTTCTAAGAGATTTCGTATATATCCGTTACAAACATTTCTTTTCATGAGTGCTGTAATAATCTTCATTAAACAAAATTAATTTTCATATAAAAAGAGTGTGTAGTTAATTGCATTTTCTAATTATCTAATTTAATGTGCATGTAAAGGACAGTGTCTAATTAATGCAACTTTGATGTGCATGTCCGTACTCTCAATTATCATAATTGTGTACAAATTGATTAAATCATCACCTTTTTGTGCTACAATATACAAGGTCTTTAATCAGCTTGGATTAGCACGTGTGATAAACAATACAACAACTACTGTCCTCCACTGATGACCACATTGCTTTTCGGTACACATAGTACTATGGTAAAAATAAAGACATAACTGAACGAAAATCTATAAGTTTTTCTTTATTTTACATAATATAAAAATATAATAATAAAAAATATGGTTCAATGCTTTGAATAACTTTAATTATTGGTACTTTTTACACATCCTCTTTCTTTCCTTCACACAACCTATAAAATATTAGAAATATGATACATTGATATGAGCAAGATTGAAAAATCGTGTAACTATTCATAATATTTATAAATGAAATACGTTCAACTTAATTAATCAATTTATAACACTTTCACATAATTAATATGAAGGATAAGTGTGATTTATATAAATATTCGAGTGTAGATGTACTTTAGCATTACCGGAAAGCAATCAATACAACTTTGTAACAACTTTGAAAATCGCGTAATGAAACATAAAATATTTATAAAAACGTCATGAAATATAGATCTTCAACTACTAAATAGATTGTTAACACTTCCAAACCAATAAAATAAAGTTTTCATGTCTTAATTGGATAAACTATATTGCTATTCGGTAATGTACATGTATCTTAGCAGGACCGGAAAGCACTCGATATATCAGTTTTCCTAAATACTCGTAATAATTATCATTATATATTTATAAAAACATGTTGTCTGAAAGATTTTGATCTAATAAATCGATTGGTAACACTTTCAAACCAATAAAATAAAGTTTTCATGTATTACTTTGATAAACTATATTGCTATTCGGTAAAGTACATGTATCTTAGCAGGACCGGAAAGCACTCGATATATCTATTTTCCTAAATAATCGTTATAATAATCATATTATAATTATAAAAACATGTTGTCTGGAAGATTTTGATATAATAAATCGATTGGTAACACTTTCAAACCAATAAAATAAAGTTTTCATGTATAACTTTGATAAACAATATTGCTATCCGGTAATGTACATGTATCTTAACAGGACGGAAAGCACTCGATATATCTATTTTCCTAAATACTCGTAATAATTATCAATATATATTTATAAAAATGACTTGTCTGAAAGATTTTGATCTAATAAATCGATTGGTAACACTTTCAAGCCGATTAATTAACGTTTTCATATGTTTTTATGAGAAATTTGAGTGCTTTCCGGTATTTCGGTGCTATCAGGTGCTTTCCGGTTTTTCTATGCACCGGTTTATTTCGGCTGTTGCGTTGTTTATATTACCGTTGAAGTTTAAAATTGACCATCATCGTGAAGAATTATATCTTCTGTGTCGATGGACCAAAGGATTATGTGAAAATATTGGAAATGGATTAAAATACATGGTGATTATGACGGTAGGGGTGCGGATTTTTTCCGGCTAACATTTTTATCTTGTGTATTATTATAGATGTTGAAATATGATTTTTTTTCCAAAACGGCATATATTAAGATTTTTTTATATATATGATCAGTACATGTCCTGGGATTGACAAATATGCATTTTATTTGGATTTTAAAGGCGTTTTGAGCTCCAAAACCCAAGCGTCTGTGATTATTATCACTCATTCCTTTGAAATTGAAAGGTTTAGTTCCCCTTTTTATTAGTTCCTGGTTCAGACGTGCTTGTTTCTTTCAGCATATATATGATTAACCGCTCCAATCTGTACAGCACCACTCAAAGACTTGTGTAAGTAACTATCAAAGATCATTACTTTGTGATTTCGAACACAAAGATGAACATTCCAGAACATTTTGACCGGTCTGTAATGTTCATCAAACAAAACGAAAGTAGAGATAAGATTACGTTCCATCAAATAACAGAAATAAGTGTTAGCATAAACCAATTCGCCACGACATATTTACATACTTAAATAATCATAGAAAACAATAATTTCTACAAATGCATCACACTTTTTAAAAAAATGTACCTTGTATCTGCCATTTTGTTGTTCATTCACCATGTGCGAAGCAAACGCTTGAAATTTGCGTAAAATCAATGGTTTCGCTCAGCGCAAAGCTTGCAGCTGACGCTGACTGATTTTTGACTGGTTCAAAACTTTTTACCAATGATTTTTACCAACGTTAAATTAGAACGATATTCATTCTATTTGCGTATTCAGATAACTTCGGCGATTACCGTTGCTACAAGATTTTTAAGCCTGAACTTCCCTTTCATGACAAATGAGTTCCACAAATAAACGCAGTTTGACATGTCTTTTTATTCTACAATAACAGATACAATGCAGACCAGTATAGATAACAGTCTCCTATTTCAAGAAAGTTTCGGGGTAAGATTCTTTTGTTTATTAACATAAGTAGAAGTACACAACTTCACAAGTAAAAATAAAAGGGACAAAAAAAAACCCAGACTAAAACTAAAAGTCTACATTCATGTATAAGTGAATTAGTAAATAAAGTTAATGTTAACACTGACATAAAAAAATAATGTAAGAATTTCTTTGTGAATAGAGTTGTTAAAGGGTCTCCACTGAGGTTTTTCAACATGACAGGACTTGAAATAGCTAAAGAGACCTCAGCGAACAGGTTTTATAGAAGCATACTGCTAGACCTGTTTGCTGAAGCCAATCCGGTATCGAAAGTCAACCAGAACCATGACATATTTAGGTCATGCTGTAATTAAATAAATTTGCGAGATGTGGACAAAATCTAATTTAATACAGGTAAGTAGATATATATGGGCACTTCAGTCTAGTAGCCTTTGCAAATAGGGTTGACCCGTAACTTTACTGTCGCACAACAGTGTCTATTATAGGACGCGCGATTGCGCGATTCACGCTAGTATTTCACAGATCGCGCACAATTCAAAATCATGTGCGTGAAAATCGCGCATCTATAAAAAAGTCAATAAAATCGTAAAACTTCCATCCCGCATTATATTTGGTTGTTTTGTTTACATTTACATTGGAAACCGAAGGGAGGTAACTGTTAGCTAATTATAATAATTTAGTATTGTATGGTACTGGTTACGTGAGTTGACAGAAATTAACAGAATGTTCCGTACCAACCGGAACTAGTGTGCTCGGTCTGACAGTTGGGCGCCGTGAAAGATAGGTCGATTGTTTGTATTGTCAATCCCTTTATAATCATTCGCGGCAGTTCTGTAATAATTTGTTTTCGTTTAAAAATTAAGGGGGGGGACAACTACTGCTGCCTTAAATAAATAACGCCTCAGTGTAAACTTAATGCAGACGATTTAACATTGGCAGTTTATTTTGGCACCCCTTGATTTTGAAAATCGCTCCCTATTTTGAAATAGAGGGGGGAAAATCACCCCTATTTTTCAATTCCTAGAATAAACACTGCACAACGTCAAAATAAAAGCGACATATAAAGTTATGGAAGCCAGAACTAGACTTGAAATAGTTTTTGGACATTTAGGTTCAATTTGACCACGTAAGCCAATAACTTGTGTGCAATAATTTCACACTAATCGCACATTTTATTTTTCCAGATGAATAATTTTAATTGTGAAAATTTTTCCAATTATTTGGAGTTTTGGACTAAGTACAACATGGAATTTGATTTTCAATTTATTCCTGAGTATATATTTTAATTGACATCTGCATATCTTTCTGTTTTAAATGCTGCAGGTAATATTTGTAAGAATTTTACATTTTATGACCATAGGCCTTTGGACAACAGTGGAGTGCCTTTAATGACTGTAATAAACTGCCTGATCAAACAGTGTATTGCCTAAGTGTGTCTCGATGAGTCAAGGAATGAACTTCTCAGTTCATGAAGTGTTTAATATTCTAAGAGACTTGTAAACTCATGTGGAACACACTTCAACTACTTGTACTGTGCATTGGGATATTGTGCTATTTTGTGTATGGACAATATCTCCCCTCTATGAAGTAGAAACAACATTTAAACCTATAATAATGGCTATTACAAAAATTTCTCAGAATCTAGCTTTGGCATGTCAAAATATTTTGACTAGTGCCATAGTAGAACAATCTCCAGGAAGTATCAGGGTCAAACTTTCAATATTTAACATTTTTACATTTATACGAATTGGTTTTTAAGAGTTTTATTGATGAAACTGTATAAATTGGTTGAGAAGGAAGAATTTAATATATATGTATATAAAAATGATAAAAGGTAGAAACAAGAAGTATATATATGTGTATGTTTTGCTTTTTTCAGATATTTTTTTTTAGTGGTAGCAACTTTGAGTATTTTGTGTTTCTCAAATTATGGTTATACTAAAGGACCTAAACAATTTCATGCTCTCACTGATTTAACAGTTACACAGTATGATTGTTTCATTTGATTCTGGATTGCAATATATCAGTTGAATATTGCACCAGTTGACTACTACAATATAATGATTATGGAGGAAAAAAACAAACTGCTATTTGTCTTACTAAATTTATATATTTAGGTAACTTCGGATAACTTTTAAGGACCTCCACTGAGGTGGAGTCCCTTTAAACTGGAAAAAGTCTTGAAAAAGTACTAGAAAGAGAATTCTATCTGTACTTAATCTATGTTTGTGCTTCATTAATAGTTTAAACAAATTTTTGGTATCAGTTTTGAAAGTTCTTTTATATACAGCAGCACATATGAGTTTGTTATCTGAACATTTTTATAAGAAATTTTAACAACCTATTCAGTTGAGATAGAAAGCTTTCAAAATGTTCCGGATTTCTAATGTCCTGAATATACATTAAGTGTTGAGATTTTAACAGGATGTGTATCTTTTTTCTGTAATGTAAACAATATGATAGTGAACTTTAAATTATCTTACCTAACAAGGAAGTCAAATTTTGTTTACTTTTTGATATGAATATTTAGTTAAATTTCATACTTTCAGTCCTGTATATTCAGTTATAGCATACACAGAATGGTTAATATGGAAGTTTATAGATAATATATTATGGCCAGAATGAGACATTGTAAACAGAACCATTACACCACAAGTTTTATATCATAACATGTCAAGGAATTTAACTTTATTTTTGTTTTTGTTTAAAACCTTATATACATGTATTATTTGAATGTAAATATAATGTTGAAATATGGCCTTTGTGGAGAAGTAATCTTTCAAAACAGTTTCATTTCAATTTTATATCTGTTTGAACAGATACATGTAATTTTTGTAAGGACAGGTTTGGTTTATATGGCCTTTATTCAAGGGTGATCTTAAGCACAAGTTTGTTCTTTGCATGAACAAAAACATTCCAGGTGCTTATCTTAATACAATATCTTTATCATATTCAATAAAAGTTTGAAAAATAACAAAAAATGGTAATGTATATTCAATTTTCATAGATGCTGTATGAATTACTTTATTACCCTTTTTCAACATTACAGTACTTGTCTTAACATATTTATTGCTTGAGGTTGTAATATTACTTTTTCCTGTGCCACCAATACAGATCTAAGTCTGAACATATAGCCAAATGTTTATTTTGTAATGTATAAATCCCTCGCACAGCAACAAACATTTCGAAATTCAAAGCAGGACAGGTCCATCATGTATTAATTGTAATGTCTACGTATTCAAGGAGATTGCTCAATACATGTTACTGTGACTATAAATAAATGTATACACATTATAACAGAATTGGTAATTGATTGAAAGGTGTACCATATTTTGATCTGTGCTGTACTGAATATTAATGGTTAATTATGTATATTGACAGGCCTAATTAGAAATGTAAATAAATTACATGTCATGTATAACTATCAATTAATTGGTGTAAGAATTTGCCTCAAGTCATTGAAATGAACTGATCACATTTCAACATGGTGCACATTTAGTAAGTATAAGGCAATGATATAGTCTCTATAGTTTTTATTACCAATGAAGGGTGATGATCATTTCTCTTTCCACTTTCTTTACTTATTAGGGATTACATTCTGTTCACTCAATTCCCAGATTACAACACTGTGAACTTATTAGAAATTACTATAGGCAATTTCTTTAATAATGGATCACTTATAATTTGGATTTAATGAAAGAACACATAGCAATCGGGCAGTAAGTGTTGGAAATCATTGAGTTGGAATGAACAATAAATGTTGCTGTGCATGTGTGTCAAAAATGTGTGTATTGTCTGTATTTAGAGGATGTACTTCAGTGTTTGATGGAAAACACTTCACACTAGTTTGGCATTAAGTTAAAAGAGCCTGTGACATTTCAAGCTGTGTTTTATATCATAGTGTTGTTTGAGATATATTTATATGTTAATGTGATGGAATATTCATAGACATTCCTGTGCTGATATTGTCTTACATGACATTGTGTTTCTTATATATATATATGCTCCCAGATAGATAGATTGGGAGGGCATGTTGTTTACAGTCTTTTTGTCTGTCACAAAATCTTGGAATCCTTTCGACAACAGTTCCAAAGTTCACAGATTCACTTGATGAGCTCTAAAAGTCAGACAAATTAAGGTGTCACAGGGTCACCATGGACCAGGGCTATGCATGCTACAGCATCATATTCATTCAAATGTAGCAGGAATGATTTCTTTGCAATGTAAATGTAATATTGGTGTTACAATGATAATTTAATAATGTGACCCCTATAAGGATAATTTAATAATGGATGTAGCTATGTAGCTTTGTCCATATAATCAGGATATATGTAGCCTCTGAAAAAGAATATCTATTACATAGTTGTGGTTAATGTTAAAATGGGCTTCTAGCACAAAGAAGTTAAGGTCATTAATTTTTGATTTCTAAAATTAATGTTTATCATATTATTTTTTAAAATTGATGAATGTTTTTTTTGTGTAGATTGAAAGATGGAGTAGTCATTTTATGATATTTTGTGACATGGTTAATTATATAATATGACAAGTTAAAAAATCGGGTATCTGTTATCGGGAACTCCACTGAGGTCTAAAAGCATAAAAAACATAACGATTGAATGATTAACTTACATAGAACAGTTGGGGCACTTAAAAACATAATAATGTGGGAAAGATAATTAAGAAAAATTAAATTAAAAATTGTATTTTTGTGCTATTTTAGCCTAATTGGAGTGGAAAGCGTTGTTTTTGAATTTTGGGTCATTTTTCACAATTATAATAA